CTAAAAACTAAACATCCCACAATGCAACGCGACAGCGACATTTTTCTACCTTCACTTTTAATTTGAATACGTTTATTCGGCAATGCTTATTTGTTCTTTAAGTTGTTTCTCTGTTGCCCAATAGCTAGTATTAGGTAACTATTCAAATGCGGATTTAAAAACTGGTAATTGGAAAACATAAAATCTGTCACCAAGCCCCATGGTGTAAAGCGCTGGAAGCTCTTGCGCCAAACTATTCCACAAAAAAATCTAACGTACGAATGATCACAGACTATTACACTGACGCTGTGCCCAATTCCAACGAATGCCAGAAGTTAAAATCGTACGAAGCAAAGCATATTCACGCTGGACCACGATCTATACCGACACCAACATATCTCGGCAACCTTGCTCCTCGTTTTCAATCTTCGCCATTTGTTCCAGTACATGGGTGAACCATATTATTTATTGATCGTTTCTTTTAGTCAATGTGGCAGCAGTTAGCCTTCCTTTGTGTTTATTTTTTTGGGGGGGGGTGTTTGTTGGTGGGGGGGGGGGGTATCGTCTATTTTTATCATTGCTCTTTTTGCAAACGGTAATTCACAGAGGTACCGACAGTCTCATTAACCCCCACGCCTCCTCCGAGGGATTCCAGAGGGCAGGCAAGCCACTGGCTGTTGCGCGTGACGGGAGGAGGTGTCTTGTATAATTCAGGCAGTGCACGCCTCGCCCTGGGGCTTTGTGTTTTAATTGTTGTCCCCAAAATTGGAACTGATAGCCACTGATGTAGTTGTCCGTAGGCGGTCAATCCGAAAACCCTCGCGGTTCAGGATTTACTGGGAGCTTCTTCCTATTCTTTCGTATGGCCGCTGATGTAGTAAATGCAAAGCAACAACTTCACATTCAGGTGGTCAAGCACAGATAACCGCATCAGGAGTAATTCATCACCGTGATGTCTCTGTCGTATTTGTGAATCGGGCTTTGCATCGTTGTGCGTGGTACGGTCTGTTCTGGATGACCACAGTAGCCACACTACCGAGAAGCTTTTAATTTTGCACTTGCGCATCAGGTTATGCGCATCTGCTGCCGCGGTTTGTGCGGTGGATGCAATTCATGGTGGGCCATCAGCTTCGTGGAAGAACAAACCCAGGGATATTCTGCGTTAGGGCTTTCACATGGGAGCTATGACACCATGAGGCATGGGAAGAGGCTTAACAATAGCTTGGTGCCGAAGGTCCCCGCGTCCCCGCAACACTGGCTCATTTTGGCTGGCTGGCGATGAATGTTAAAGTCTTAGGCCTCCCCTCGGTCGACTCAGCCTCAAATTAGTACCTGGTGTGGTGTGTAAGCATCTCTACTGGGGAGACAAAAGCGGTCGGGCGTGGCGCTGGCCTTGTGCTCCGTTTCGGCCTTTATCGATGCCCGCTAACAGCACTTGCCTCTATAGTCTGTTAAAGGCTAAACGGGGGGGGGGGGGTCTTTGTCTGTGGTTATTCAGCAGCAGCAAAGTTATTCAGCAGCAGCAACAAAGTGCTGCTGAATAAACGCACGAGAACGGTGTTTGCATCCGGTAGCAACGTGTGCGGTAGCCTCTCTTGGGGTCAATGTTTTAAGACAAACAAATACAAAATCCCGTTGATGTGACCTCAGCTCAAAATAAGATCTCTCATTGTTTTGCCGTGATTACTCGCGGGCGTGTAAGCAAATTAAGCGATCAAAGTTATGTTTAATTGCGTTGGCCTTTAACAACACAAAACCCACGTAGAAAAATAAATAAAGATGCGGGTTTTCCGACACATCTCCAAGTGCTGCATGTAAATCGGGGGGGGGGGGGGGTGAGCAGAGAGGTGCCCCCGCCCGCGTCCTCCGTGTGATAACGGCACAAAGCTTTCCCAGCCTCTGTCGCGAGATTTTGATCACATGGAGAATGCTGTGCTCAGCAGAATGAGCAGCAGCTGATTGCCACAGCGCACGGATATTGACAGGACGTTCCCCCCTCCCCCCCACCGCAATGCAACGTGGTTTTAGAGGTCAACACCTTTTAACGGCCACTTCAATAGCCATGAAATGTTTACGTTTGTAACAGGCGTATGCGGTGGCTTTATGGTGTCCATCGAATGGACGGTAGTACGCTTTCATCGTATTTTATACGGAGGATTTTGTTTATACTTTATCTATGAGGAGTGGCAAACGTCGGCGTATTGTAAGATTTAAAAATAGTGCATCACATTGCTTTATATTGGAACTAAATGTGTGCGCTAGTAACGGTTCATGCAACAAGAAAAATATTGATACAACTTCATTGTAAAGATGTTGAACAACCAAACTACAACTGTACATTTAATTGGCTTAAGACATCTTTGTTAAGACAATTTTCAATTATTCTTTGTTTCCATGCACAACATACGGTGTATATCATTTTAAACGAAATCGCGAATTGAATATTTCTTGTTGGCAAGAGCTTCGTGTGCATATACCAGTTGGCCCGTGGCTTTGTGCGTAGCTTGCCATAATTTTTTTTCAATTAAAAAATGTTATTATCACACGAAGTCTCTTTACGTGTGACGAGCGGCAAGTGTTTGCCCCATGTAAAAAATATATATTAACACGACAATTTAAATCTTTGTTCACTCAACAAATATTTTGTCGCATGCCAGTTGAACTTCCGCTGTGAGTTGTCATGGGATTTGTGCGTGGCTCTTCCATGCCACTGTGTGCCCCACGTCCCCCATGCCCTCTGCCTTCCCCCCCCCCACCCCTCTCTCTCTCTCTTGCTGCCTGTGTCCATAGGGAAGGGCACGCGCTCTGACGGCAGGCACTGCACCATTAAGCAGCGGTTGCTGAAATGTATTGCTTGCGCCCGCTCCAATAATTCGTCGAATGGTCAAAGCAAGTTTGGATTCCGGTTTAAAACAAAAAAAACGTGTCATGCGTCCCCGCGTCTAGCGTCTGCATCTCCTCGTTGTATTGTTTACTTCGCTACTACTTTGTTTGTGTTCATTTATTTCTTTAGTTACTGCACTTTGTCTCTTTTATTATTATTATTCGGGAGTTACGTAAATTATAAGCGCTCGGGGTAGTGAGCGGTTGGCAGAGGTGGGGGGATGGGTTGAGGAGTGTTGAATAGGGAGCTGTAAAATTTGATCATGAGTCACGGATCAAGGACGATGGGGGCAGAGCAGCGTGCCAGGCCAATAAACTCGGCGTCACTGAGAGTTTGCAAACCTCTGCAGGGTAAAGATGTTCACTTTCTAGTTAGGCAGTGTTTTCTATTAGCCTGCACAATATAGTTCTTGTTTTACGTATGCAGTATGTAAAACCTGTATTGTTTTATTTGGAAATGATTATTTTTAGGCAGTGAGTTTCACCTCTTAAATTAGGCTGTTCTACGGTCCATTTACCTTTTGGGCCTTCCAGAATACCTATCCGAATAAAAAATTACGTAATTACTTATAATAAAACCATTATTATTTAGGGGGTAATTATCAACTATATGATTAATTGTTACATGGTCATTGACGCACGTAATTATTATTATTCAGGACATATGAAACGGGCATGAATGTAATCTGAACGAAAAACTAGCGGCAAGAGGCATCCGGTAAAGTTTTGCCGAGTAACGTTTGTTTTTAAAATAAAACAAACAAACAAACAACAAACAACCCCAGCACGTACCCTATGGGTCCTGCAGCTGCATTGTCAAAATGTAAAAGGTCATCGACGAGTGACCCCCGCCTGGCGAAGGGGCAGTTGGGAGCTGTCGTTTTGTGCCACACTCTGTGTCCTTGCTGTGCACCGTCTGTACTGTCTCCCGTCACTCGCTGTCGCACCTCGCATCACTCGAATGTCAAACAACAACAACAACAACAGGTTTTTATTTTATTTTTAACACGACGGTCACGTGCATGTCGTTGTTCCTCTTGCACGCCCTGCCCATTCGCCACACCGCACGCACGCACGCACACGGCAAAGTGACACAAAGTGGCTTCTTCCGACTCTGCATGCGCGGGCATAGCCTTGGCTAAGTGGTCAGACGTCTCGGTTGACACCATTCACCCCACCCAGACAGCGGCAGGCAGAGGCTAGCTACATGAACCGTTCGGCTAAAGTCTTTGGGGCACAGTCTTTGCTTATCCATTAAAATAAGACGAAACTAACGGTGCATGCTTCCAGACATTGCACACTCCCGCTCTGCGATCAAACAAGCTGGAGTGTGATCGGCACGTGCCCCATGGTTTTTTTTTGGATTCCACTTGAATTCAAAAGCGAGCACTCCTTGCCTGCTCATCCTCTTTTAAGACCACCGAACACCACACAACGTATGAAGTAAACAAATAACACCATTTTCCAAGCCGCTCAATGCAAATTGGCATGCAGCCGCGTGCGATTTGGAAACACTTCCATACCACAAATTACCGCCTCATGTTCTGAAGCCTCCAGTGGTGCAGCTGTTTAGCGTCCAAGCATTGCAACTGCTGTACACCGGGGCCCACGGGCTGGGTGGCCCAGTTGCCTAACTATTAAGAGGGGGGTCGATTGGACAGCGAGACCTTCCCATATGAATCCTTTCTCCTATGCAACTCATGCTACGCCACACCACTGGAAGCCTCTGGGTAGGCAAGGCACTCGCTGCCAGCGGATCGGATGCAGTGGCGTAACTGTGGCAATCGGATCGGTGGGGCCCCAAGATTTGATTTGTCTCGCACAGTCGCACCCAGGCGATTATATTTCGCGGCTCCTCTCGCCTAGTCACATCATTACGCTCACAGTCTCGAACATTTAACGCTAGAGGGCCGCTCCGTATGCGCAAAATGCAGCCACGACAGCTCTCATGGTGGTTGTCAAGGGGGCCCCAACTCATTGCTTTGGCCACCACGGAGAGGAGGTGGGGGGGGGGCAAGGCACCCCCTGCCTGCTCCCACGCAAGTTACGCTACTGATCGGATGAATACAAAAAGCAATCAGAGGGACATCCCGCTCAGCTCCCCTTGAAGCCATCCTGTGCGCTCTCACGTTCCACAGAGAGCACGGAGGACGACCTGGAGCTGTCCCCCGTGTGCCACCGTCCGGAGGGGCTCGATATCTTGCAGGAGCAGACCAAGTTCAACCGCAAGGAGCTGCAGATCCTCTACCGCGGCTTCAAGAACGTACGGCTCTCCCACGCACACACCGCTTGTTTCGTGATGTGGTGAAGATTTTATTTCCGCTCCCCCACCCCCCTCTTCACGATGATACATTGTCACAATTCGAGGTCGCGATGTGATTCGATCTTTTGTTGTCGTTGTTGTTTCGTTTGTATTGTTTGCCTCTTTTGTTGTCCCCTGTTCGTTCTTTCTCAATCTGTGCATGAACCTCAAAGTATAATTTCCATTTAATTTTGGATACATTTCAAATAGCCAAGTCAGTTTAGTAATGTTATATGCCTAATGATTTGTGATATTGACTTCGTCGAAAATACAGTTGGCCGACGTTATCGACCAAACATTTTCAAACAAGAATAAAAATGTTTTATAACGACACATTTTTACGAGTCATATGTATATGCACCTCCGATTAGCACGGTTGTCTCCGAAGTTCAACGTACAGATATTTCAAGCTGACATTAAAACTGTCCCCCAATGCTCTTGCCTCCCGCAGGAATGCCCCACGGGCCTCGTGGACGAGGAGATGTTCAAACAAATCTACGCACAGTTCTTCCCGCAAGGAGGTAAGAACGGCTGCACACACAAACAAGACAAAGATCCCCCGTATAGCCTTGAAGTTCAACATACATACAAGGTGTGGTGGGTGACCAGCACTAAGTCCCGGGCCGCCAGGTATTCATTTGAGCCTGAGTAAATCTAGGGGTGGCCCAGGACCAGTTCAAACAACCATCACTGCTGTTGGTGGCCAGAAATCAAACTCGGCTCGCCTGGTTCGTAGAAAAGCACGCTAACCGCTGCGCCACCGCTCCCCACTAGGCAAGAGCGAGTGTACACATGCTCAGCAGCACTCAAATGATTCATAACCGTCACTTAACCCGTCGCCAATCCACGCAACGTCGCGAGCCACGGGAGCGTACGACTCTTCCTCTCTCTATCTCTCTCTGCCTGCGTGCCCTCCCCGCGTGTCGTCTGCCAGACGCCAGCACCTACGCGCACTATCTCTTCAATGCCTTCGACAAGGATCACAGCGGATCGCTCAACTTCGAGGTGCTCCGGCGGCTGGCGCCGTTGACCGTGCGAACGGGCGCGTGGTTGGTGGGGAGGAGGAGGCTGGGGGGGGGGGAGGCGATTATGGTGACGGAGGGCCCGTCCGTGCGTCAACGTTATTACGGTCGCCGCTCGGGCAAGCAGCGGATGTCTCTCACTCCGATGCGTTCGTGGCATCTCACCCCTCCCCCCCCGCCCCCCACCTCGTTTCTTGTGTTTTTAAAGCGAGCTGAAATATTGGTTGACGTTAGAGTGTTTTTTTTTTTCATAAGCTCTACCGTCCTGTCATGATTAACGGTAGCCACGTGGGGGGTTTTTTTCCCTTACAATGCAAAGTCGATCATTATATTTTACATCCGAATTAGAGGATCACAGGCGGTTTAATTCTAGGTTGGAAGCTTTCATGACTGCAAGGATTCATACTCTTAGGTTTTTTCGGTAGTCACGTAGGTAAAAATAATAATAATAGAAATAAAATAATACCAATAATAATAAATGAAAATATAAATCAATTAAATCACGACGTTTCGGAGGCAACACAAGTCTCCGTCTTCAGGTGGGACCATCACAGCTAAATTTACTGTATCGAACAGACTTGTGTTGCCTCCGAAACGTCATGATTTAATTGATTTATTTTCATTTATTATTATTTTATTTTAATTTTTTTCACAGAGGGTTGTCAGCAGAGGGCAGTGCAGCAGAAGCCCATTTGTCGGGCCCCTGCGGTGTCCCACAGTCACTGCTGCCCCCCCCCCCCCCTGCCCGAACATCCACTCACCAGCGTGTGATGAAGCACTCTCAAATGAACCCCACCACCCACGTGGTGTGGGGGGGATGCCCTCATCCACCGGCAGATTGACGCGAGAGCGGCATGTGCACGCGTTGCAGGATTGTGAGATGTTGATTCGTCGTCTTTAGTGGGGTATCGTGCAATAGCAGAGGTCAAACACTATTCAGGGGAGACCCTCTCTGCGTGGAAATTACATAAACGCTATGTGCGAAGCTGATATTGAAATATATACTATTATGTGTTACGTATAGATTTTTTTTTTTTTACAATTATATGCCACTGCCTATAAACACTATAATCAGGCAAAACGCATTGTGCGCTTTCCACATACTACATCAGTGTCCCACTGCGGGCGTTATCAAGATGTGACCGCACCAAATGAGAATTTCTGCGTGGCGCATTTTAACGGGGAGATAAGACGAACAAAATTAGTTATCTACCGAGTTCATTAGACGAAGAGTGTAATTGCTGTGTGGGGCACGCAATCAAGTCTCGGCAAAATTCCCCGCGCTCGCAATAAGTCGGGATGATTTTAAACGACCGCGTGGAGCTGATGCGTCCTTTCCATGGCCACTGGGAAGAGGGCCCAGCTGGCCCAGTAAATGGAGCAGAGTCAGCACCAGGACTCGTAGCGAAGGAAGGCCTCACCCTCAATGACCTTGGCCCCTCTCATTGTAAGCCTTCGTCCCATCTGGCCCTTCCCTCAATGGCCAGAGGTGAGGGTGGGGGGCAGAGGTTGTGATGGACACTGATGCCTACTTTAATATTGAGCGATATTGGCACGTAAAGTAAGGATTGATTGCTTGGTAGGAAGCGATATTCAACATTATATGTTGATCACGTTTAACATAGGCACGTGTTAAGTTAGACAATTTGAAGCTAAACTCTTGTATTTTTGAGTAATTTTCACTTTGTGTTTTAAAACAACAATGCAGGCGAGAAGTTAACCTCATCTCGGGGTGCGTATCCCGCTACCACGTTGACCCTTGACCCCGTGAAATCGCGGCTGGTTCCGTGGTCAGCTCGGCTCCGAAGGTTATGACACACTCGGCGAAATCTGATGGAAATTTTGTTCCAGCAATGATCACTGGCGATGTACTACTTTGAGATAATTTGCAAACTTGGGACAGCAATACCATAGAGTGATGGAGGTCTGTCTAGCCAATAATGAAAATTAGTTTGTTGAAAATGCCCAACGGTCTCCAGAACATGACAACCTTGGGCAGTAATGTGACCTCGCTCGCGATTCAAGTCTCCCACGAGGGGGAGCAGCAATCAGATTTGTCCACATTTTGGCAACTATGTTTTTTCTATAATAGAGAGTTTCTCCAGCCGTTATTGCCCGCGGAAATAATTATTGCCGGTAGCAATCGCTGGCTACGATTTCCATAATATTACCCTGGTGTATCATCACCTTTAATCTGTGGCTTGGTTTGAAAAGCAAAGACTAGGCCACCCGGTAGTGTTGCCACCTTGAACGTACAAAACGTGCAAAAACTAACTTAGGAAATCCTAGGATAGTTTTTTTTATAAAAAATAATATCTCGCAATACCGAATGAGGAGAGACCTAAATGTAATAAGTGGTGTATTATTAAGCTGACAAAAAAACAGGGACTTTTAATAATCTCAGGAAAATGTTCATGATTTCCAAGAGCAACTGTCCCAAATATAATGTTGTCCTGGGAAAAGCCGGATGGGTGGCAATCCGAGGACCTGGTTATTGATCTCAAATGGAATCAATTTGGCGATGAGAACGAGGAATCTCCAGGCCCAGTGCAGAGGTTCGTGTGCTGCGCTACGAACCCGGCGATCCAATGTCGATTCCGGCTCACGGTCAACACCAATGACAATTATCTGAACCGGTCCTGGGCCTGCCCTAGGTCGACTGAGCCTCAAATGAGTACCCGGTGAGGTGTGTAAACATCACCACGAGGGAGAAAAAGGCAGCTGGGCGTGGTGCTGGCCACCCACCTACCTAGTGTGCCGTGCTGGCCTTCATAGGTGCTACTTGCTAACATAACTTGGCCCAACAGTCTGTTCAAGGCTATGCGGGGGGATCTTTGTATCTTTGGTGCCCCGACGATTGCAGGACTTTGTGACCGGGCTGTCGATACTGCTGCGTGGCACACTGAACGACAAGCTCACCTGGGCGTTTAACCTGTACGACATCAACAAGGACGGCTACATCACCAAGGAGGTGATGTTCGTGCTCACGCACGAAACGATCTCTGCAGTGCAAACCGCATGCCCTCCATTCTTCTTCCTCCACGCTACGTGTGGCAGAGATGAGCAGCTGACATTTGTAAGAGCAACAGACGTTGAACGTTGATGTCTACGATGTGGAGCCATTCAGCGGTGCTTGGCTGTAAAGCCGGCGAATTGCTTTGGTGCCACATGTCAGCGGTCTTGATGGGCGGCGGTTGTCTACGTGTGCCACTGCATGCCATACGACTTGTGCAGAGAAACAGCAGTGGTGTAGTCCAAGAATGTATACGGTTTAAAATCTAAGGTTTAAAATATGTTGATGTCACAGCGCTTGCATTGAGATAAGGTAGGCATAGTTTCTGGCTTACATTTTTGGTTGTCATACGGCAATCATATTTTTTGATTACGTCCTATTTTATTGTGTTCTGAACAACTCCGTAAACATGGAACCTTGGGACAAATTTTGTCCAACTACATGCCAACGGTGGCCCAACGATGCAGATTGACTGAAAAATAATAATATGAAATCTATTTTTTGGGACGCGCAGTGAATGCGAAGTTACATCATACATATATATATATTTGAATCGCACCATGATTAAATTATACAATCATGCCCGTTTTTACGCAGCAAAGCCTCACAAAGCCTCAACCCTTTTTAAAGAGGATCCGGCATTTGGATATTTGGCCAATTCCAGGAACGAGTTTTTGGTGTATGGGAGGAAACGGCATACCTGGATAACACGAGGGGGTAACAATAAAACAATTTCAACGCAGAGATTCAATAATCCAACGCTGTATTGACATCACCTCGCCACGTTAGAGAATACTAAACTAAAACTAGTTTTTTATTTTACCAGGTAGGGCCCACTGAGCTACATAGCTCTTTTTTCACAAGCGACCTGGCCACAAATGATAGCTCAACGAAGTTGCTTTTCAACACGTGAAAATTGATGGCAGCCAAATATTACAAACGCATATTTATAAATGTGGAGGGGAAATTTTGAGGACCCGGAAAAAAATCCGTGTGATCAGGGGGAGAGAGAGAGAGAACACGCAAACTCCAAATATTCATGGTCTGTAAAAGAAGCAAAAAAAAGTACCGTTTGCAACTTTGCAGGTCACGATGACAGTTGCATTATCTACTCTACATGGGTGTAATTAGGCCAGCTGTTTTGTATGCCTCCCACGCAATCAGACGCAGCGCCGCCGAGACGCGTCAAACGTGTTACCTTGCACGTGCAATATCGAAGCCGCGCATTAATAGTGTAAAGTGTGAGCTTGTCCTGCCGCGCGATGTACAATCAGCACACTTGTCCTTTTTCTGCAGGAAATGAACGGCATCATAAAATCCATCTACGACATGATGGGCCGGGGCACGTACTCTACGGTGCCAATGAGCGCCCCCGAGGAGCACGTTGACAAATTCTTCCAGGTAACGACGCCGTCCGCGCCGTCTCCTCTCTCACTCTCTGCCGCCGTCTGTTCCGAACTCCTCTCTCTCTATCTCTACTCCTTCATTAAAAGTCTGGCCCGAAAACAAAAACCAAAGCCGTTGTTGGTTTCGCGGAAACGCAACGGCAGCTCTTCGCAGAATGTTTCATTTCTGGTACGAAACTGACGATTGTTTTGATGGGAAATGTTAACGATATTCGTTGTTTGCCTTGAAAACTAATGTGGTATATGTGAAACGAACTTTTCTTTCCTTAACAGAAGATGGATCAAAACAAGGATGGGGTTGTGTCAATAGAAGAATTCATGCAGGCCTGCAAAAATGTGAGGCACAAATCCAAAAAGACATTATATACCGGTGTATATCATTGACATTTTAGAACAAAAACAATCATGCCCTCCCCCATCTTCACCAGCGTGGTGAAGTATGGTAGCTAAAAAAAACATTGACCCACATGGTATGTGGTGGCCTTCATCCATTGGTCTATTTGTGGATTTAAGAAAGGCTGGAGTTCATGTATTATTTACTTATAATGTAATGAGTGCACGCCTGCACATTTGTAATATTGCATCACACTCGCAAAACGTTTGGCCGCTCTCAGAGGGTGGAGCAAAACTCATGTAATACCACTCATTGGAACAGGGCAACAACAGTCAGAGGTGGGCACGTGGCTTAGGAGTTAGAGCACGAAGCTGGCATTGCGCGTTTCAATCACGGGATCAGCTGACTATGAGTAACGAGGATCTCGAGTGAAGCATTAGCCCGGCCGCAGAGACCACACATTACATCCCCAATTTGGGTCTTCACTTTGGGTGTTTTGACTGCCATGTGACAGGACGTGGGGATAGTGTGGCCCCTAGTGGATAAAATACATACTTTGACGTGAAGCAATTTCAGAATTAGTTCGACGAAGTCGTCTTTCCACAGGGCATTATAGAAGAAATGTGGTCGTGTACTGCTCGAAATGATCACCATACGGATACTTTTTCTCATATTTCAACTTTACATCAATTGGAATAAACGTGTCGAAAAAACTAAAAATATTTTTTTAAAACAGTCAACACCAATTATTAAAAAAAACGGTGCCCTTTAATACACACCGTGTTTGCTGGTTGCAGATGGCTTAGATTGGAACTTTAACTTCCCGCGAGAGTTCTGAGGCCCAAGTAAAAGCATCAAGCGGTAGCCCAAAATGTGACCCCCCCCCCCCCCCGAATTCATTCAACTTTGTGACCTCTGCTCTCCCCTGCACTCTTGTGTTCAGGATGAAAACATCATGCGCTCAATGGCCGTCTTCCAGAACCTGCAGATATCATGAGGCGTCGCCGGAGAAGTGAACGCCGTGGCTCCCCCGTGCAGCCTCACGGCGGCGGCGGCACATTCACACGTTTTTTTATTTAAAACCTGAACAGGTTTCTTACGCTTTGCAAAAAAAAGGCAGGCGGGTGCGCGACACGTGCATGCATGCCGTGTTTTGCTAACGGACGGAAGAATTTGGTGGCGAGGGAAAGGAGGGGGGGGGGGGCATTTTCCTGCAAGCGCGCGGATCGGGCCTTTCCTTGAGACGCCGCTTTTGGCGGAGGTGTTGGTCATCTGGGACCAAACCGTCTGGTCGTTGGTCGGCCGTAAACGCAAAGAAAGGGAAGTGCGCTGGTTGAAATTTCGAATTAGCGGGCGGTTTGTATCGTGACGTTCACGCGTACGTAACACTGCCATTTTTAGCACTGGTACCCGCTTGCACGATTTATCAAACTCGCTCACATGTTCGCAAGGAAGTCACGTAGGTCCTGCCCAAGTGCGATCGGGGTCTATGCGTCAGTCGGAGGATGCTCGTGACACGCGGTCTGCCGACATTACGAGTCGTGCCCCCACACCCCCCGCCACCCCCAGCTGTCGCTATGCCTTATCCATGCCACACCGTGACATTATCTCTGTCAGTATGAAAACAAAACATTATATTTTGTGGCAGCAGCTGGGCTCCTGCCAAAAAACGTCTCTTCATCGCGAGCTTTCGCCAGCCAACCAGCCGGGCGCACACGCACAGCCCCATCATCTGGATCGAGACGCTTTGAGCGAAGACGCTCGGTGACAATTAAGACCTTCACGAGACTGCGAGCAAAGCCACCTTGCCCCCTGCCTGTCTCGCGCCCGCGACGTCGTGTCGCGGTTGACGATGAGTTGGTGTGGATGTGGGGTGGGTGGGTGGAGGGCTCTTTCTTTGGAGTCTATGTCGGTTGTGGAGAATAAGCGGCTGTGTTTGTGGAGTTTGGATATTTCTAAAACGAGTGGCATTTGTCTAAAAGCAGTCTGTTGGTGAAAAAAATGAGTAAATAAGTGAGCTTTTATTGGACTTGTGGGTAGTCTGCCAAAACACCATTTCTATTTTATATTAGAAGTCTAAACTTATTAACCACCTCTAAAACAGAAAATATCACCAAATATACATTCTGTACGTGCCAAAAACACTATACTGGATTAGATTTGTTCTGGATGTTCTAGCCTCCATATACGGGATTATTTATCCCCTCAGAATGTCTAACATGTATGTATGGAATTTGAATTAGGTTACCAAATATTCAAAGCTAGAACATCGATATAATTGGCATGTAACAAACTGAAATTTATACTTTTTGAGAGAGAACAAAAACTAAGAGACACGATATACATGTGCAAGAAAGTACTTAAATTAAATATATACTGTGTTATTGACAGGTACAACGCGTACTAAGCAAAACACAGCACTGAACAACATTACAAGTTTAAAATACATTTACGACATCCAAAAAGTAGATGATCCATTTTTAGACACCCTACTCATTTATAACTCCCATCTTCTCAACAGCTGATTGAATACTGTGAAAGCGACGGCTCCGTATCTTACCGAGAAGAGTTGTTAAAATATTTCATAAGTTCATTATTGAGAATGGTGGGAGATGTTTCGAGGCTTTAAAATAAAAATAAATTCTCGAAACGTAGATGTATCAATTATCTCAGTTGGGTAACTAAAAATGGATCACCCCGTAAATTACTTGAGGGGCCTAAATAAGCTTTGATATTTACTCGGCTGTTTGTTTTTGTCTCAAGAAGGGTAATGCCGACGTTATGGCTTATCTTGGTTTGCTTACCCCTGGTAACTGACAAATGGTACGGATGAAGTAGGGTTAGCATCATATCAACACCATCCTTAGAGCAGTGTAAAGTAAAGTCCAGCAAACATTGCTTTTTCTTAAAATAAAAATGTACAATTGTGAAATCAAACCAGAAATGCAGCTGGAAAATTATCACCTTACTTGAGGTCACCACCAAAAACCCTGTTGCCCAATGCATACGCATTGCAGTGAAGCTAGATTTGACAGTGCTTTGTCAATACGCTGTTTAATGAAGGGCTGCTCACACCGTGTCTGTCATGGCAGTTGTTCAACCATACTTCACCACGCTGGTAAGCATAGGTTGGTGAAGGTATCAGAACCAAGACCTGTTCAGTTATCACTCGGGCACTGATGTTAGCCATGGCCACGAATGAAAGTAATGCTACCGGGTCCATCGTAGTGACAGCGAACCGCGAGTTTAATTCCTTGCCACGGCGAATATTCGTGGCAAATGAGATCTGAAACGATTCTTTGCCACGTCTCTCCTTCAACTCAAGCATCCAGCACGGTGAAATATGGTCCAACAATTCACAGCGTTGGGGGTGACCTTCATCCAACAGTAGATTCACGAAGTGTTGTAAGTTGTCGTACATGTATTAACGCACAGCGTAAGGCACATGCAATTGCAACATTGCTTAACGTGTTAGTATTAAGAGCACACCGTAGAATACTCGGTGTACAATTACTAAGTCCGCGCAATCAGCTCGTGGAGCAATGATAAGTTAGCAGTCACAGGCCGTAGAGGTCCACATTCACTCAGCACATTTACATGAAGCCGAGTGGCGTTAGACTTACACCAATAATATATAACGTAGACCTGCAATTACGACGGCTGTCGTGCAGCTCTATTTCTTTTCAAATAGATTCAGATGGTATTTTAAACTTTAAGATGTGAAATGTTGATTTGTAGATGAACACACGTGATAGACCGCACAATATTCCGAGTATTCTTAGGTTTTTTCGGTGAAGTCACGTAGGTAAAACATTAAAATTAATAAAAGTAAAATAAAATAAAAATCACGACGTTTCGGAGGCAACGCAAGCTTCCGTCTTCAAGTGGAACCGTCACAGCCACGACAGCTGTATCAAGCTTGATTGCATCGTTATGAAAGGGGTTCCAGGAATGTACAAAATAATGATTTTTATTTTATTTTACTTTTATTAATTTTAATGTTTTACCTACGTGACTTTACCGAAAAAAACCTAAGAATATGAATCCTTGCAGTCACGAAAGCTTCAAATCTATAATATTCCGAGTCTTACAGCCAATGCATCGCAATCTAATTTATAATAATCTACGTCTCGAGCTTTCTGGCTGGCTGCTGGCTGGGCTCCTCTCCACCTCAACAATAATTCGATTGTTAGTGGCTATGGGTCGTTGCCACGGAAGATAGCTGGGTAACTGGCTACACGTGATTTCCGTCTAACAAATACACATTGAATTGCATTGGAATGCAATTCAATGAGTTAATGATGACGTCACCCTGCTGCTGCTCTATATAAGAACGGGAGACACAGCAGAGCCTCACCATTCTGGCGAATTGCCCGATGATGCTGGATGCAATTACCAGCGAAACGTCGTACTCAAATTGTAAATGTTGTGGATTCACTCTTCAACACACCGGTGGGCTAGAGCAGTGAACTAATTGTCTTTTGTCAACGTGACACTTTTTTACTGATTGGCCGTGTCGGGTGGTGGAGGGTTACGACACATTCATAAATAACGCGATCTAAACCCAAAAACGTTGATTATGCATTGGAATGTCGAAAGTATAGAAGATATTTAATAGATAGCAACGCAGAACAGGTGGGAGTCATGAATACAAAATGCTGACACGGTTCCTTTAAAATTACTGTAACTTTTACATTTGTAATGGTTTTACCCGGATATTCTGTCAATCCTAGAAACTATTTTTTTAAACCTCACAACACATATTATCTTGACATTTAACAGCGTAAAAAAACATTATTTTCAGTGTCCGAGTACAGGAGGATCGTGGAAAGAGGATGACAATGATAGCCGTCTCTTACTTTCCATTGCAGAGCAACGGGTTGCCTATTCGTCAAAATAACAGGAACAGGGTTGAAAATGACAAAAATGTGCCCTAACAATAATGTACTGGCATTTCACCTTCACAGCTCCTGTGTGGTAGTTTTAGTAAAGATAGTAAAGATAGTAATTCTCATAATCAGTGGAACTTCCTGTGCCATTATTTGCAAGTCTCAACGTGATGTGCAATGTTTAATTAATTTAAGAGTGAGACAATTGCTGGTTGGTCACATTGTGATATGGGCCTTTGAGTGGCTCTGGCTGCTTTATTCCCACATGCATATCTGCACAACAAAACATCAACGGAGTCTTTCCTTTCCAAAAGTATGCCAGCAACACGCTCCGGTGGCTACATGTTCATTTTTTTTTATAAACTCACATAGCAGTAGACACGAACGTGACGCGAGTAAGGCAGAAGTGCTGTTCTACTTTGCTGTCGTTTTACGAATTGTCTGAATACATGCATACACTGGCTGTAATTTGCACTGTTCAAATGGTTATCATGATAGATATATTTGAAAACAAATAAACATAACAACTTGATTTTTTTTTGGCGTGTGTTGTTTTGATTGCATCGTTATGAAAGGGGTTCCATGAATGTACAAATAATGAATCAAGACAAGCAAGCGTGTTATGGATGTTGAACTTCTTTCGCACCGTACGTAGCCAACCGTGCCATTGGAGGTGCGGGGAAGGACAACTCAACATTAGGTGTTTGGAGCAAGTTGTACTAGTAGTCGACACACGCCTCTGAACCTAGCGCGAGCAGAGTTCAATTCCTGGCCACGGATAGTGAAATCTACGTCCCAATAGGCACTGACCAGCGAATTAAAGTATGGTCAAACAACCCCTATGAACCAGCATGGTACAGGCAAGCCTTCATATAGCAGTGGACTGACTTAACGGCTGAAAAATAAAAATTATGACTGTCTGTACTGTATTTAAACGAGACGAGAGAGACTACGCATCTTTCTCAATGGCAGAGTTGGAGAAATTCAGTTAACGCATGAAATGTCTGTTGTTTGTGCATGTATTTCATTTAGCACATTCACAACTATTGTTCTGGTGTTCCCCCGCACAGAGTTTCTTCATATTACTGTACGAAAAATATTACAAAAGCACACAGCTGATGTACAATGACAGCTAATGTTTGGTGTTTATGAGTTGTTGAGCCGAGGGAGTCATCCAAAAAGGGGAAACTTACGAAGCAACCGCGACTAAAAACAGCAGCGCATTTGAAACCACGGGGTGGTTTTCCCCCGTTTTGTCTTCCAAGGGCAGTGATGGACACAAGACTGCTTAAACGCCTTTAGGGTATCTCAAGTGAGGCCCTGTATTTGCACAACAGCCGTCAGCTGGCTATTATTATTATTGCCAGCTTACCTTGAAGATGACATATCAAGCATCACAGCCAACAACCAGCATCCAGGGCGCAATGAACAACGCAGGTAAGTGCAACTTTAATACAGTTCAGTGCCGCGATGTTGTGTTTTGTTGTTTATATGCTGACGTGGGCGAAAGCCTACGTGTGTTAAAAGTCACGTTTGCCGAGTTTGTAAATCGGACAAAGTTTATTAATTGTAGTGGGGTTGTTTAATCCAATATATTAAAATCGTGCAATACGCCTGGTTGAACAATGGAAACGTGTACAGTATATGTTTTACTGTGTTTTACTGCAGTTCCACAAGGTGAGGGTTTTAACATTGAGGCTAACACAATTTACGTTGGCATATTTTAATAATATTTTTTTTATTCTTCTCTCGTTAACTCCCCTGTGTAGAACGTCCAACCGAGCAAATACAATTTCAGATGCGTGACGAGGACGACAATCATGATGTCCATCACCATCATCATGATGAACATCATCATCATGATGATGATGACGTTCATCATCATGACGACATTCATCATCATGATGAAGTTCATAATGATGATGATCATGATGATGACGTTCATCATCATGATGAAGTTCATAATGATGATGAACATGATGATGACGTTCATCATCATGATGAAGTTCATAATGATGATGAACATGATGATGACGTTCATCATCATGATGAAGTTCATAATGATGATGAACATGATGATGACGTTCATCATCATGATGAAGTTCATAATGATGATGATCATGATGACGACGTTCATCATCATGATGAACTTCACCATGTTGATGAACATGATGATGACGTTCATCATCATGGAGACGACGACGACGTTCATCATGCCCCCAACACACGCGAGGCTGTAATTCGCCTTTTTGGTTGCACCAGCACCACCACCATCCCCAGCGCTGACGCAATCGCCCATTTCAACATCCTCGCCCACAACTACCCAAAGGAGGTTCTCGCCACCGTTTGGGAGACTTTGGAGATCCACCAGGACTGGAACGGCACACTGCACACTCTCGCCGAAGCGCAGCTCTGGCGTGCGATGCTGCACCCGTGCCCATCGCACATCGCTCCAGCAGACACGGCCACCGCCGGCGGCAGCGGTACGATCCTGCCGGTGTTCGAGGCCACCTGCCGGGCCCTCTACCGAGAGTGGCCGGACAAGCTGACGCCCTTCGTACGCCTCGCCCACCTCCAGAGAGCTGCAAGCACGACCGGCGGAGCTCCCGGGTGCTCGGCCACGGACGCGCCTTTGTACAAGCGGGCGACCTCGGTCCTGCCCCGGGCAGAGGATGCCATCGGGGCCGCCAGGGCCCACGTGGACCTGCTGCTGTCGAGCTGGCGACCCCGAGCGGTGCTCAGAGCCCTGCAGCTGCTGCTCCGGCTGCGCGAGGTCGAGACGGCCGTGACCGAGGCGACCGTTCGCTCGAAGGGGAACCCTCTGCTGAGACGGGAGGCATTCCGATTGCTCCTGGCCGAGGTGGGGCGCACCCGGCTGCTGGACTCGCAGCTCCGCAGAGTCTTCGAGCTGTGCCCGAGCAGAGTGAGCGCCGAGGAGGCGCTCCTGGAGATCGTCAGAGGCGCCGCAGAGGCCGGCGACGCGGCCCACGCGAAGCCGTTTTTGTTCGACGCGCCGAGCCTCACCCTGGGGATGTTGAAGCCGCTGCTCGTTCACCTTCTCAGCGACGACGTGGACGATGAGAATGATGAGAAGAAAGAGGATGATGATGATGATGACGATGGTGGTGGTGATGGTGGTGGTGGTGATGATGATGCCTCCTTCGTCGAGGGGCAATAAACGGAACGTCGAGTTTGTGTCCTGATTTGGAGTGGTGTCAGTGCCGGATTTTCCCAGTAGCAAAAGTAGCGACATATGCTACGCGCCCCGCACTTTAAAGGGCGCCCCGTGCTAAATGCTTTCAATTCCGGTTCAGTGATTCCGCACTTGCTCTCTTACTATAGCACTATACTGCCTTAAACTTTTATAAACGACTGGATGTTTAAGGTTAGCGATTTGTCGTATTATCTGGCTGTATAGCAAATGAAAAAATACAATTACTTTACTTTTCAAGTAAAAAATGTGTTTAATATTCATGATTTTTTTTTATTTAGGGCCCCTTATAACATATGCTAGAGGCCCCGCACCAGCTTAGCCCGTCACTAAGTGGTGTTCGTGCAGTGGTGGACTTGTGTAGCGGGGGCAGGAAGGCAGACGCAGTTGTGTGCACTAATTACGACGTTCTTAGTGGTGGCTCAAACGTATTCACGCGATTTGAGGATTGCAGGGTTCGCTATTACAATGCAGAGGGGATTTATGATGGATGGGCGTACCTTGTGGTAGTGCCTTACGCCGATAACCCCTACTCTAATCCAGCGTAGCAGCGTTGTGAAAGCCCTGGGCGTAGCCCTTAACGTCTGATGTGACTTGAATGATTGTTTTCCCCCCGTCTTCCAATCCCAAACGATGCTCTCGATCTTACCAGTGCTTCACTGCATCAAGACAGTTCAGTGTAATCAACAGTGTAATTTATTCTCAATAACATTGAAATACATTATTCGTACAATATGCATTGATATGTATGTATCTGTTTATTAAACGATACTTTTGAGATCAAATGTGTAACATTATGGAGTGTAGATCTCAAGAACAAATAACCCGTCAAGAGCTCAGACTTGCATGCATTGTGATTGCACACGTGTGCATCAAAGCAGCACAATATCTAAAGTCGGTAAATTTGGAATATATTTCAACTTTAGCTGGGCATCTATTGCCAAAATCACCCCGTTGCTTGTTTGTCTCGATCCTCCCTCAATCTCCTATTACTGACATGCAATCTATGACCACCACAGTATATACAGTAGAACCTCGGAGATCGAACGCACCAGAACTCGAACAAATCGGTGTTCGAACGATATTTCCGGAAAAAAATTGCCCCGGAAACCGAACGAAATTCGGTGTTCGAACAAATCGGTGTTCGAATGGCCTTCTGGGACGAATTAAGTTCGATCTCCGGGGTACCACTGTACTCATAATTTATCCATTTGAAAATCCACTGCTGGATTAAACCCTCCCCGTGCAATGTTGTTGTGGTAGTTCAATTGAACACGCCTCGTCAAGGTGGTCAACGTCAGTCGAGGAAGGGAAGAGGGGCTGGAATGGATCAGACACCACTTACCAATGATGTTTAGCCGTGGCTGGGAATTAAACTTAGGTTGGCGGGTTTAGAGCACACTGATATTACAGCCAGCAAAACTTTTTTTTCTAATACATTACGATTGCACGCTTTTTTAAAAAGTATATCTGAAAAGCATGTGCCTGGTACGGTATACCTGAATTGTGCAACTGGACACATTCTGCAGCATTTGTGTAGAATTGTATTTAATTTCAAGCATACCATACTGTATCCGGGTTAATATATGTTTGCTCACCTTTACGCTGACATTCAAGAAATCAAGTTTTATTGACCGCATTCTATCACAGTACAATCACCTTTTGTTAGTTTCAAACAATCATTCAGAAAAAAATGTTCCTTCAGACTAATCCCATATCACCATATTTTCGAGATTACCCGGTATAAAACATTACAATTCTTCTTCTGTAGTTCAGTTGTGTAACTCAACATAAATTGCGTAACCGTTGTGTGTGTGTGTTAAAAATGATAATAAAAATACAAACATTTGTACAAGAAACATTGCTTAACCTCTGCAAATCACGAGCATCTTCTGTGTGTCCAAGCTCTGACCTGCATCGAGCACGTGACTGGGGATGTTGCTGTGTAATGGGCCCGCATCACAGCACTTGCCCCAAAACTCTGCTGAGGTTATAAGGGGGATCTTTGACTTTGTAATAAACATACGAGAGGTACGCAACCTACGGACCGCGACTTCATTTCATACAGCCCATGGCCACTTGAGTGCCCTACATGGCCGCGCTAATCGGGTATTGGAGAGGAAATATGTTTTGACCGTGGCATCGTTTTACTTTTCGCTTGCTTAGTTCTCTTATGTCTCTCTTGTGTCAGTATTTGTAAGGACCTCTGGGGAGATGTAGAAATTAGCTAAGGTGCACGTAGTTTTGAGTTCTGCCAAAAAAAAAATTTTGTAAGTGCTGTTTGGCAATCGGTTAAGGAAATAATTTCGCCAAACTCTGCTTGTATAATTATATAATCAATGGTGCGCATTGCGTTACATTTAGTGTCCCGCTAAACGTCGCATTGCGTTTTGTACAGTGCCACTTCCTGCCATTAAAAAGAGGAACTTTCGCGGTGCATTTCAGGCCGGCCAGCAGCAGCAGCAGCAGCACACCTAACCAGGGCCAATGGAGTGTGTGTTTATTCACAAAGTTCATTCACATTGGGCTTCCTACATTCAAAATAAGATATTAGAAGCAAGTCATAAGCTTGACTCGTTTTCACGAGCACCCATGTCACATTCGGTGTGCTGACAGTAAAACACATTAATTGCGGTTAAATTGCCATCAAAAGGAAAAAATAATAATGAGATGGGCTACCAAGCAAATGTAGAAATGGTTCTGGGTCCTCTCTCTCACAATGGTATTGCGTCCTTTATGATCGTGGTGGGTGTCATGCAAACTCCACCTCACAATGTTGTTCAATTTGTAACGCGTGCAGTTTTTGTCGAACAAGAGGCGCGAGAAACCGCAGACAATCAGCCAGAACCCGTTCCAACTGCCAATCGGGGTGGGGGTAATGTACCTGCAATGTGTCATCCCACACCTGGTGAATTTTCAGGTAACTTTTGGCAAATGTGGACCGTGCAGTGGGCACAACGATGGCCTGCACTTGCGAACGACACCAGGGGCTCTCTACAACGTCCACTGTGAAGCAGACGGCATTTGTTTGGTCAATACACCCCGCAGTGTTAATCGGGGCGGCCGTCAAAGTTTGAACCTTGGGACGACTGAGAACGAGTGGCGAGCTCGATACCGCTAGGCGGCCCAATTCCCCTTTTAGCCGAAGGCTTTGCAACATGACAGGTATCGAACTGTGCAATTCGTTGCTCCGAATACACGAAAAGCACGATTGCACGCAAAACCAAATGGTAACTTCATTATTGCTGACATTAATCATGTACTGCATTTAAGTGTGCTCTGCAAATATTGATTAAAGGGAGAATATTCGGTATCTCAGTTCATAGACACCCCCCCCCCCCAAATCCTTTCCCCATTGTAGCCCACGTCCAGTAGTACGAAGTGATTTAACCTACAAGGCATGGGACAGCTCTCGTCTAGCAGTCGATTGACAAAAGCGAGCTGAATATGAACAATGGCTCTGCATCTGGCCCACTAGAAGTCTGTGCGTGTGTGTGCGTGCGTGTGTGTGTGCACGTGTGTGTGTGTACGTGTGTGTGTGTGCGTGTGTGTGCGTGTGTGTGTGCGTGTGTGTGTGTGTGCGCGTGTGCGTGTGTGTGTGCGTGTCTGTGCGTGTGTGTGTGTGTGCGCGTGTGTGTGTCTGTGCGTGTGTGCGCGCGTGTGTGTGTGTGTGCGCGTGTGTGTGTGTGCGTGTATGTGTGTGTCTGTACGTGTGTGTGTGTGCGCGTGTGTGTGCGCGTGTGTGTGTGTGTGCGCGTGTGTGTGTGTCTGTGCGTGTGTGCGCGTGTGTGCGCGTGTGTGTGTGTCTGTGCGTGTGTGCGCGTGTGTGTGTGTGTGCGTGTGTGTGTGTGTGCGCGTGTGTGTGTGTGCGTGTATGTGTGTGTCTGTACGTGTGTGTGTGTGCGCGTGTGTGTGCGCGTGTGTGTGTGTGCGCGTGTGTGTGTGTCTGTGCGTGTGTGCGCGTGTGTGCGCGTGTGTGTGTGTGCGCGTGTGTGTGTGTCTGTGCGTGTGTGTACACGCGAACAGTTATTGTGTCGATCCACTGCTTGGGCGAGAGCTTTCCCTAACACGGTGCCAGTTGTGGGGGGTTATCGACCATACTTCACATCTCTGGTCATTGAAGGTTTGTTAAGGTTGGGGGGGGGGTATACTGTAGATGTGGGAACAGAAAGAGCACAGTACAATGGATTCTGCTACACTGCCCGCTGTTGTCCACAACATAAGCCCACATCATCTCTAACGCGCGCACATTTCACGATGCACAAGAGACCGCTCCCTGCAGCGCAAACACAGTTCCCGTGACTTGAGATGATGGCAGGCCACGCTGTGCTGCTTTCCCGACATGCCACGATGTTATTACTACGAGTGAGATATCACATGTTGCTGCTGACAAAGGCAAGTGATACATTTGCATGTTCTGTTTACGTGACAAACCTTACTAAATGGCTTTGTCGGGTGGTGGCGGGTTTAACGGCACATTTATATTTACGCGATCTCACTCCAAAAACCTGTATTGTGGATAATATTTGTCGCGAAAGCCTACGTGTTACAAAGCTGGGCGTTTATGCCTGTTGCAAACATTGTAAAAAAATAATGGGGCATTTATTGTCTCTCTATTACGAAGGCGAAACCCAGCCGCTAAGAACGAACGTATCACGAACGCAGAAAAAAATCCAACAGGACGGACGCAACGACAGGAAAACATTAACCTGAAGCAGGAATAACAAAGCACGAACATTTGTCATGCTATTCAAACAGGGCTGTTTGAATAGTTTACTCAATTGCTGTAGAGTAAAACGTCACATATCGGCCTTGACCAATTTACACCCAATGCAGGAATTATGGTGTAAGGGTTATTTTCACGAGTTCACAAATATGAGCTTTTCACATTCACTGCCTACAGCTCAGTCTCCAGCAAGTCAGATATGCGACGTTGTACTGTAATTGTTCCTGTATTATACTATTCGTTGGCATTCAAAATAATAATAATGGTATTCTACTCGTGAACAACAAAATGTGCCATCACTTTACGAACATTGTACAAGCTGAAAAGACTGCACAAGCTCCATTCATGGAAATCCACACGTGATGTCATACAATTTTATTACATTCAACATTATTTAATGATTGGTATCGGCATACGATCTTTCGTAATAAGTCAAGTAAAATTTGAATCTATTCAAAACGTGTGCTGAATCTTGTCTCCCCATTAGATCTTCGGTTCGTCCATGCGCGTTATCAGCTGCTTGAATCAAGAACAAAGAGGAACCATCAGGAATAACATTTAACTGCGTGTGAAAATTACCACCTGACACAGCACTGCGCTCGAATAATCACATTGCCATCAAGATGGGCCCCTATTTACGCCACTCACCCACACAGATCGTGGATTAGCAATCAGGGGCCAATCATCGACGCAGTTCAATTCAGGACTTCCACTCAACAGTAACAGTCCATTGATTATCTATGGAGACAATCATACAACGCTTCGGTAGCACCAATCCGCAGGAACCACCCAGTCGGCTCAGACGCGCAGGGCAGAGTTCCACATTTGCCGCCGCTCCCTCCCCCCCCCCCCCAATTATTCATTAGCGACAACAAAAATACCCATTTTGGAGCCGGCGACATTAGTTCCAGTCAAAGTCACTGATGAGCAGGTAAAGCCAGGCGTGCAGGAAAAGAGGACAGAAGAAAGAGCACGTGTTAAGTTCACCAAGCGATGAACGCACGTTGAGCAAGAGAAAATAAAACTTTCTTAGACAAGGTGGATAAGACATTCGCGAAGCAGCGACGGTTATCATGCAGAGCAATTGACAAAATGAACACCGGTGACCCCTGCAACGCCCATAGATGCGTTGACCCATTTCTAGATTGAAAACTCATTTCTTTAGAACTGCTTTTTAGAGTTTAGTTTGTCCCACCCTCCCGATTAGCACGGTTGGCTACGTACGGTGGTGCGAAAAAAGTTAAAGATAACAAAGACAAAGATCCCCCATAGAGCCTTCGCAGATTGTTGCGGGCAAGTGCTGTTAGCGAGTTCAAAATACGCACGTACAGAACCCCCCCCCCCGCCGCATCTGTGTCGATTCGTGTGCACGAGCGTGGAATGCGTTTCAATTCGAAGCACTCCGTGTTTTATCACGGGTGACACGTGGAACCTCATGCTCCGTGTCTAAAAGAGGTGAACTTGACATGTCAGATGCAAACACTTACCTTGTGGTAGGAAGAGTTTTAAGCCATTTTATTACCCTTGTCGCCATTTTTTGCACGTGGTAATTTGTGAGCTGAAGAATTAACGGGTCTGATGGTGATAAAATATGACATTTTAATGTAACGTTATATTGGGGTTCTTTTTGCTCCAACTTTTAGCTTGTGAATTCACTATTTGAATCGTCTAAAACATATCTCAACCCATCATCCTTCTGGGGTTAATACAATTGGTGCCACTTTGTGGGGAAATCAATTGTGCTTGTCCTATGGATATACTTGCCCCTGTCACAGGAATGTGGAACTTCCACCAATGGCTCAGGGATGTAAAAATCACTTTGACTTTAATGCCCTGCAGTGAAATCCCTTTACAGCAATGTGTCACACACAGAAACCCCAGACCAAAGACCGTGCTCACTCTGAATAGCTGTCTTCTGTGTCCATACGGCGATAAAACTTGGCGAGCTTCACGGCAAATATCACGCTGGGGATGAGGAAAATGGTGGCCCAGCCCAGGCCAAACCAGAACGAATTCTAGAACACACAGGAAAAAAGAAGACACTCACTGTAATGGTGGTACTGAAATAGGTGAAACGATCTGCAGGTTCACTTATGAAATGCCATAAAAAATCTGCAAACGTTGAGGACTCGTAAAAATAAAGTGTTTTTATGAAGCCACTGATTTATTTGCAAGTCCACTGCAGTTGCAACTCTACGCGCGATATATGTAGTGTTCGCCGCTTTGAAGGCACGAGATCTTCCAAGCTGTTTTTGGATCACATGCAACTGGATGATAAATATGTACGACCGTGTAAGAGTGTATAAAGCACGTACGCACATGAGCACATAAGCATCGGGAAATGTCGACACTACGCACACAAACACAACTGTGTGCCGTAACACGGCGGATGGATTTGTCTCCTGTCACACATTTGGACCGCAACCCTCTCACGCGGTTGGCGCTGCCGTGGTACCGTGGCTGGCTCGCTGGAGTTGTAATCCAGAGGTCACCCGGTTTCGACTCTTTCTAAAATCCCCTCGCCTCTATCCACACGGCAGTTTAAATGGGTGCGGCACAGTTGCATCGATTGGCGGGTCATGTGCGGTGGGGTGAAGCGTGGGGTACTCCGTTTATTCGGTGTGGAAGAGTTGGTCACCTACCCTCTGGGGGGGTTCCTCTACTCGAAGCGATTCCCACCATGAGTTGTGTAAGCAAGTCATTTCTGGGCTAAACCTTGATCTCTTATAAAGTGTCCTTCATTGCAAGGCCCGAGGGCCACTGGCGGCCCCTGGCGTGCGGCCCCCAACAATACACACCACGTGACAACACCCCCATCGTGACGTCACGATGGGGGGTGACCCTCACACACTGGTGAAGATGTCCCCACCCCCCCCCCCCCGCCTTCTCTGAAAATGAGTGAAGAACACGGTCTTATCACGTCGCACTTTGCTCACCATCGAGTTCACGAGGTACTTGCATCCGATTAACTCGATGGAGTCGATCAAGTTCGCCAGAGGCTTGCATGGCGCCAGCTTGTTCTTGACCTAGGGGACACGGGATCACGGTCTGCGTCAATATTCACGTCGAAGTCCAAAAGTTCCGCTGTAAAAAACAACGCTCGGCTCGTGAACACGAGACACCAGGAGGTGACAGGCGATACACCGGTGCAGGGAATGCAATGGTAAGTCTGAAAAACTCCAAACAGCTAAGGAATATAAGCAAGTAGGTGTAAAGCAGGATAACTCCCTCTTGAAAAAAGAGTGTAGTGACTCATGAGGCTTTGCTCGATAAATGCATGTAATGAAACAATTATTGCAATTCCATCGCATTTAGTGGAGAGAACAGATTCAACGTGTGAAATCATCTCCAGTCATGAAGGAAAATGTGCCCTAGACGACGAACGCCTGCATGTGTTGTGGTGCTTGGGGCATTGTTGTTCACGCGGGGAACACGGTAAAGTTCACCCACAACACCTGGGTCTGTTTGGCGACCTCCTCCTGCCAGCGAACCTTCAACTCTTCACGTGACCTCCAAGTGGCCGGGTGCAAGCGCCGTGGGGACATCACCGCTACTTGCTGGCGAATGGCGTCTGTTGTTGTTGTTGTTGTTGTTGTTGGGGTGTATGGATCACTATTTGATGCGATGCACGTGGAGATGTGGAATGTTTTTAAACGTTTTAAGATAAATTAAATAATAAAAACACTTACCATGTCCCTCGACCAGTCAATGTAATCTGTTAGTAGACGTCTGACGGTGCCGAGGAGGTTTTCAATCGTCTTTATGAAAAACAAAACGATGACAATGAAATATGAATCACTGCAGTTTGTATAATGTCTTTTTAGTTTAAACACATACTTTTAAAATGTTCATAGAGTACGACTGCCGTGAAGTCAGTTGTCAATTTGAGACTAAATTACATGACGTACCGATATATGTGGCTTTCACCACGTATGCTTAAGTGCTGGGCTGAGCATCTCTGCACAAGTGGCAGCCAATGAACATCAGGCTGGCCTACATCAACCACCAGCGGTGACCGGCCACTTTATGCAATCGAGGTGGTACCGTGAACCTCTCCATGCCGCCAGTCTCTGAAGAAGCTTCCGGCACGTGGAATAAAACGTCGGGCAACGCCCGTAGACAATGCAGATGGAAAGTAGGTCGACTTAAATCAGCATCCGTTAAAGGGAGCGCTGTAATTGAGGGTGTTTACTTATGGCCCACGGTGTGAATTGTGATTGGACCACCCATTAAAACAACAGCGACGATGCTCTTCAAAATCAAAGTGATTCAGCCAATACCATCCGGTTACAATGTCGCACTTTTCCCACACTCGCGACGACAGCCAGACACGCTTTCGTCACATCGCCCTGGCGAGTTTACCCAGCGTTGGTTATGGGAACATCGGCACGGTTTCGTCCGAAAATCCGGACGAAAAAGGAACATCCGGAAACCTGCGAATGGGCCCCACTGTGGTAAGTTATTATCCTTGCCACTGTAAAGGGCACATCTACCCACAAGGGAAAGAGAGTTGGTTGAATTGGAAGATTAAAATAATGAACGGTCTGCGTCGCGCACGATTGTCTTACCGCATTAATCAGCAGGGACCCGTTTTTATTGAGACTATTTTCAAAATTTCCAAAGTCACGAATGATGTCGCCAACTTCAACCTGCAAAGATAACAGGTGGTTAACTCGTGCGCGCATGCACACACACACAAACTCAATACCGTGCGGACATGTTTCATCACGATTCCAGAAACTGCTTCTCCCTGTCCTCTCTCCCACCAAAGTACAGGGAGCGCGCGATCCTGCGTGCACGCATCAACCCGAGTTAATCCAACTGTGGGTGTCACACGTCAACACGAATTTGCGACGCGTAGCTTCAGCTCACCGGTCAGCATCCCTCGGCTTCCTCGGGCTCTCAAGTCAACGCCGGTGAACCTCCCGTCAATGATGCAACGTGATATCCACCTCCATCTAAATCGTCACACTCCCTCCAATTCTCGCCAACTACGGGTATCTGCTCCTGACTTCGAAATTAAATTCTGGGATGTAGCCGCGTTAATCGGCCAGATAAGTTGACAGACAATCACCGTCGGAGCGCTCGATGTGACTTGGTACTTAATCTGCACAGCTCGCGCAAATTATTTTATTGTAATTTTGTTCGACTTGTGAAAAAGTTATGGAGGTTTTTCTGTTTGCATTCGTTGCTTATGTACATTCACGTTATCGATGTTGTTATAATTAGTATTAATTTACCATCTAAGTAGAGCCCATTAACATGGTACTATCATTAAATGATGACACCTCCACAGAGACGTAAGGATCTCCCTCCCCCCATCATTCTTTAATCTTATTTACAGGCTGAATCTTAACAAATCATGAGATTATTATAGGGTTGATGATGCTCATTTGTTCCAATCCTGAGTTTTTGGTGGGATGTATGTATGTACCAGCCCAGCGATAAGCAAGCTTATCCTATGCAGTTTTAGACCAGCGTTCCTTGTCCAAGCTGGCACAATCATATTAGCGACTCATCACTAAGCTCAGCGACTGCAATGAGCCTCACCTTATACAGGTGTTCTCATCCGTGGCCACGCCTGTGAAGACGGCTGGAGGTTGGTTACTTTGTGTGGGGTTGGAGGGCGTGAGCTGGTTTCGTTGGGTATGTGGACATCACACCCGGGATGATTTGCTGGGGCAGTGTGGCCCACTCCGCAGGGAGTGGGGTAATTTGGGAACAGCTAGATTTACTAATTAATTCAGGGAGAGCTCTCCGCTTATATAATGGGCGCTGAGCCAGAGGACCAGAGGTGCTGGGGGAATGGATGAGCTGGTGTCGTGGGTGCAGCTGGACAGCTCCCTGCTGTACTTTAAGCAGTTTTTTATTATTTTATTTTGATAACTGTTACATTATTTAATTAAGGAATACCTGATGGATTAGTGAACCTGCTGTGGCCGCTCCGATGCGAATTCTGAACCTCACCCCTCTCCTAAAACAGGAGACTCACGCTGACCATTCCCATTCATTGCCCTTGGGGCATGGAGTTCAACCAGTGGCGTAGCTATCTAATGTGCAGGCCGTAACATCTGTACCGAAACCCATGGTCTGCAGTGGCACAGAAGCGAGGCGACAAAGATGAAAAGGAACTGGAAAGGGGGGTCTCTCTCATTGCATAGTTTGCACCGCTAACCACGCTACTGAATTTCAACAACCCCCACCCATATAATGAAAACATTTTCGCAAATATCAAAGTATGAAAAATAAGAATAGGTTTTACCCTTTCTGGCAGGCTGTCTCTGGTGCAGGCCAATTCGTTTCAAAGATGATGCAATTGTCAGCAAAGCATGTCTGTTTGCATGTTGAAGTATGTGTGGTTATTCCTTTAAAAATGTATTCATTTGGTGTTTGGACAGAATAATTTAAATGCATAAAGCGCCCTCAAACAATCGTTCTCATGGCGCTTAACACCTCTTTTATTACATTCCCATCCAGCCACCCATAATGTTACAGTTGTTGACAACTCTGTTAAACTGGAAGCTGCAAAAGACACGCAACAACTTACCTTTGTTTTATTAGCCTCGTCCCTTAGATACTCGATGTTTCTTTTCAATTCATTCTGTTAAAAGGGGACAAAAATCCCGTTTAATAGCTGTACGTGTATATTTATTTAATAGATCTGTGGGATCAACATCTCATTTGCAACGGGGAGTTGGCAAGAGGGCAGTAGTTAAATCACATAAACAAATCGGCAGATACCACCAATGAACAATACACTAGACAACAACACCTCGTTTTAGAAAAACTAAACATAAAAATTACCAAATGGGAATATTCTAGTAAATATAGCGGGATAAAGTAACGCATTCATTTCACGTAAAGTGGTATAGAACAAATTGAGAAGTTATTAAATGTTTATGAAAGTATCAAGCGCGGTTCGTCCACTGGGGGCTTTGGGGTGCTGCCCTACCAAGCCGCTGGAGGTGAGATATATTCTTTCTAATGAAAAAAATACTTTTCTATAAATTGTTTTGTTGTGTTTAAATATATTACATGATTATTTCAACGTGAATTGCCTAACGAAGATAACATTTTAAGTAGTTAGAAACCGCTGCTGCAACACCACAGTCTGATTTGTGCCTCGGGGCGGCTGTGAAGGTGTCCGAGTGAGAGATTTCTCCCTTCAGTCATTGCGATTATCAGCTCCTAGCATTGTAGCCACGTCGTTTGAGACTTGCATCCCACTGGGATTTTTGCACATTTTTGTGTACGGTGCTCTTTCTGCAATATTTAACTGTCTTTTCTTGGATTTTCTGTTTGCACTCAGTCACATATTCACATTAAGATGTTTTTTGTTCATGTTTTTGTTTTTTGTTTGTTGCGGTTGCACCCGATTCAAGAGCCGAATGGCTCACAGGGCTACACCTAATAAATGAACTTGAACTTGAACATTCAGGGCGATGAGAAGGGGCCCGTGGCTGTGACGAGACGATATCACGACTCGAGGTTGCGCTGTGCAAATGTGGTAGTGTCACGGCTTTTGGCAGTGTCAAAGGCGTTGCGGAGTGTGGACTTAAGGGTCATGGGGACAGTATTTGAGCATACAGATATACAAACACAGACATAACTTCAACCGAGAAGATGGATTCAAATTGAGGTATCATTGGAAAGATGTGATTAACCATGTAATGACATGTTAATGACATGTTAAACCTTAACCGCCACTCTCCCCCGCTCTGCGTCCCCCCTCCACCACCCGTCTTTTAGTACCACCTGTCTTTTAGTACCACCTGTCTTTTAGTACCACCTGTCTTTTAGTACCACCCGTCTTTTAATACCACCTTGACCTACCTGGCTCCACCCACACCCCCCAACCTGCACCCATCCCACTTGGCTCCTCCCCCCTCCTCTTACCCTATACATTAATGCCCCATCACAAATAACTCCCACTACAGTTATTTTGCTGTGCCTTTTTACACCTGATGTGTTGCCTCCGAAACGTCGTGATTTATTATTTTATTTCTATTATTATTCATATTATTTTTATTTTTACCTACATAAGAGTAGTATTTGAGCGCTTTGTCGTTTTGTTTCATATTGTTTATGAATGCCTACCGTTGGTAGATAAGAGAGTGACATCACTTTCACGGGAAGGCCAATAGCATCACGAGGTTTGTCTTAATGAGAACACCGTCTTTTTCAAAGGTCACTCACAACAGCCCCACCTAGTGGACACGTCACGAGCCGCCAATGAAAAGTATTTCTAGATTTTAAGCTGTCAGTGACTGCAAGGATTCATACTCTTAGTTCTTTCGGTAAAGTCACGTAGGTAAAAAATGAAATTAATAAAAATAAAACAATAAAATCACGACGTTTCGGAGGCAACACAAGTCTCCGTCATCAGATGGGACCGTCACAGCAAATCTGGCTGTGACGGTCAGATTTGCTGTGACGGTCCCACCTGATGACGAAGACTTGTGTTGCCTCCGAAACGTCGTGATTTAATTGTTTTATTTTTATTAATTTTTATTTCATTTTTTACCTACGTGACTTTACCGAAAGAACTAAGAGAATGAAAAGTATGCCCATGGAGGGAAACAATCAGAATCCGAGGTTCATTTCCCCAGTAAAGCCCATTGAGACGAGAAGCCATTCTTCAATTTTGTTGATTTTCGGTTGTTGCAGAAATTGGAAACCGCCAATTATTTAAAAGTGACAATAAACACGTCACGTGGTCAGTATGGTGGAAAACCTGCTCCTTTGACAGAATCAGAATCTTTATTTATTCTGTCAGAATCCGAGGAGCTATGATGATCTTTTTTTTCCAGCTGTCCAGTAGGGGCGGGTCAGCGAGTTACATCAACAAACAATGCAGAAAACGATATAACAGCCAGATAGAACTCGTCACTCGGGATAAATACATTAATGTAATCAAGGGAGAAAAGTATGTGATCTTACCCAAAGAACCTCTATTACGGATAATATTGGTCAGGAGAGCCTACTACGTGTTAAAGTACAAATTGCACGAGTAGATCAATTCCTGCAGATTTGTCAACACCAAATGTGAGCTTGAACAAGGCAGCAAAACAACAACAACAACAACACAGATTCATTACCAGTTTTCCTTGCAAGGGCACCACTTGTTCTCTGTCCATCCGTTCCAGATTATTTGCCGAGTCGTTAAATGCAGACTGCCGAAATCAAAAGCAACTTGCGTTAGCAACGAGCACATCGCCAACGTGAAAACCACACAACGCGCATGCCCGTTGTTACAATAACTACGGCGATTACAAGGGGCGGGGGGGTGAGGCGAGGGCGACAATTTGAAGTGAAATACCCGTAACGCTCCAACCGCGCGCTTGTTCCACTTACGTTGCTGGAGATGTTTCTCAACTCCATCGCGAATTGAGACAAGTTCAGTTTCACAACGCCCTTGTCGATCTGCGGATGGAAAGAGAGATCACGACAGGGGCGGTTTCTTCATTAGGGTGATTGGGCGACGCACCACCAATGTCATTCAACCACAGAGTCACGCTAGCCGTCACTGTGCATCTGGATACAGTCCAATCAGCGTCATGCTACGTTCTGTTGAGTACCGCCTCTTTTTGGGCGATTTCACTCCGGCTGAGAATCGCCCCGAGTGGCCCCATAGACTTACATTCAAAGATGTTTTTTTTCGACCGGGGGGCGCTCCAATGCATTCTCTATGGCTTCCGGGAGGGCTCGCCCTAACGTGCTTACGTCATCATACGTGCTTACGTCATCATACGTAAGCACGTTTCATCCAACAATATAATTTGTGGCCACCTAGTGGAATCTTTAATAAAAGAAACTTGAGTGGTTTGTTTTAATAGTGAGTAAAGAAACAAACAAGATGTATTGTAAGAGTCACTTTATTTTTCATTAATATTAAAGAAGTGAAGTTGCCTTTACATGCTTAAGCTGTTAATTTATCCATTGCATGGGTGGACCTTATCCTTATCAATCATCCAGACATTTGCCCCCCCTGAGAGATTTTGCAGGAGCCGCCACTGGATCACGACAACTGTGACCGTGCGTACACGACACACACGTGTAGAGCGACGATACGGTGCGTCTCTGACAATTTCAATGGTGGAACACACTCTCACCTGGTTAATGAAGCAAATTAACAATAACTTACCTCTGTGAAAAATGTGGAAAAGTTGATGTTGTTCAAGCCATTGTCAGAGAAGTTTTTTAAGCTCTCCTGCCCTGCAGCTTTCAAAAGCTTGATGTCACCGAATGACACGTTCATCTTTTCCAGTGCTTGATTAAGATCCCCCTCGTACTGTGGGTTAACAAGAGCGATACTTATTACACACTCACAATTACATCGTAGCCGTCCATCACACTGACTCGATGGTAGAAAAACATTAAACGTCGATATTGACTTAGTTTTACCAACCAACTCTGGTCTTTGTGGAGCAAATGATGAACAATCACCCGTTTCAATACTGGACAGTATTTATAAATGTTAGCTTAATGATTTTGCGGGACCAACTTGTATCGTACCCTAACGTTTTTCGACCACGAGTATGAAAAAGAACCCTCGATAAAATCGCGAACCGGACACAAGTACGACGATCGGCCTACCCAACCCCCCCCCCCACCCCCCCCCCCATTTACAAAATGTCACTCCATTTTTTTGCAGAATTGTGATCCACGGACGTTCCAATCTCCACCACCCACTCACTGTTCGAATGCACACGGCACAAAAACATGCATCACTACCTTCGTGATGTTCAGGTAGTTGTCGAGGTTGTACTGCGTCTCCAAATTAAGCACGCTGTAAGTGCCACCGTTCTTAGCGCAGCCGCTAGAGAAGGAGACAACAGCTGTCAATTTCTCCGCGACACAGGCAAGTGAACGGCAGCGAACTCCGACATGCTCGGCATGATGTCCGACGTTTTGATCCACGTGCCCGCACAGCTTCGATCGGTTCGGCTCTCCGACGCCGCCGTCACCGTGCCCGGCTCGTCATCGGTACCGGGCAGCGGCCAACGTCGCCGTTCAAATCGAGGGAGAAAGCGAGCGGCTCGATTCGGTTCCCGACGGAGGGCTCCTACGCGCGTTGCTCGCGCGCGCGGAGTGACACGTGGGGAGACACGTGGTAGCCGAACTACGCCGCTGCGCGACCCCAAAAGGAAGACGCGCGTCCGGCGTTTAAAAAGTAAATGCCCCCGACGCGACCGATGTGACCTTTTTTCCGCGCGCGGGCGGGCAAATGGTCAGCGACACGGCGAGTGGCGGTGGCCGTGGGGGCAGGACGGGCGTGCTCACGCACTCGCGCACACGCTCACTTGTATATGTCCAGCGTGCTCACGCTGCCGTTCATGTTGAGCAGCCGTAGAATGATAGAGTTGTTTCCCGTAGGGATTCCTGGAAATGCCATCGAGTCCGCGAACTAAAACACAAAAAACAAACACAGCAAAAGAGGAGTTGCGAGGCTATATACGTACCACGTACAACTTTATTTATTTGCTGAATATGTTTAAGCAAGAGAAAGAAAGCAAAACCTAGTCCAAAGACATATCTTGCCTGTCAGATTTGTTCTCGAGTAACAAATAAAATAGCAGCAGCATCGGCTAATATAAGAAAACACCTACAATACCATACAAAGGTAAAGGTTCAGCCCTGCAATTCATTGCTCAATGCCACTGCTGGAGGAACAGCGGCGTCAAGAAGGTGTTTAGAGACCCCCTCTGGAGAGGTAGGATCACCCACACTTTACTCCACTACAAAGCGCCCTGCCGATTGACTATGGATGCTGCGGGAATAAATAAAAAAGTTTACGTAAATAATAATAAAAAACATTAACAAAATATCTTCAAAACATCTGCCAAATGGTTCTCAGACACTTATTTTTCTTGGCAATGAAACGCTTGTGGCTTGCTGTGTTTTTTTGATTGTCACAATCACCACACATATGCCTCCACATTTTTATGCCGTGTTTCCAAAGAGAATAAATCAACACATACATTGCTAAATGCTCCCTTTGCTCGTGATCTTCCTTGCTACGTGGAATGACATTGCTACTTGTAAACAGTGCTGAGCAAACCGGTGACAAAAATTCGATTCATTCAACGGTAATGTATGTATGATGAACTTCTTTCGCACCGTCTGCAGTTGACCGTGCTAATTGAAGGTGCAAGGGAAGGACAACAAACTAAACACAACAAAAATGTTTCTATCTAGAGGGTTGCTCGTCCAAAGTGCCATAGGCTGTATTTTTCCATGCATTTTATCGAATAATTTTATTTTATTTTAGGGTCCCACCAGGGTCAGATTAATATTTTGTAGGCCCCTGGGCTACAGGTCCTGTGAGGCCCACAGTAATATTTTCAAAAGGAAAACAAAGTTAAAGAAAAAAAAATTACCAGGCTAACAAACAAATAAAATTCGGCATTCACAAACGAAATAACTTTTCACTTCATCTCTGGATGCCCTCCAGCTGGCGAAGGCCCCTGGGCTGCAGCTCCTAAAGCCCCCACGCCTTGATCCGGCCCTGGGTCCCGCTTATTCCCACAATGTGCAGATCTGTGTGGAGGGATATCTGACCGTACTTCACCATGTTGGTCAGTGCCGGTCGGTGAAAGTTGGGAGCATGGAAGTGGGAGCATAAGTACAGCACAACAATAGATTTTTTTCTACAACACAGACTGTCAACATATGACACCTATTTCATGCGTGGTGGTCGCCAATCCCAAAAATATATTCAGGCAAAAGCCTGCTTAGCTTCCAAGATCTGACGATATTGGGCGCATTCCGGGCGATTTGGTCTTCGATGGTTTTAAATCTCACCATTGTTACTATTATGATGAAAGCATGATTGATTACAAAGGTGAATGCACAAAGCACCTTCAGGAAGTCCTTGCTGGCAAGAGGCTCGCACAGCAGCTTGTGGACGTTCCCGAAGGAAAAGAAGAGAATGGTCACCAAGATCATGAGGATCCACGAGAAGATGAAGCTCAGGCCAACGGAGCTACGGCGGGGGGGGGGGGGGGGGAAGAGGGGTGGCAGAAATGGTGACTCGGTTGGTTTCGCCAAAAAAAATCTAAGGGCAATTTGCGTGAACGACGCGATACAAACCTAAACATCAGTATTATTGTTATTAATTATTACGGCACCACATGCACTTTCTGGAAGAAGAAAACATTATTGAGAGAAAAAAATAGAAGGACTTATATTTCTCCAATAAAGCCAAGTGCTGAAATGTTAACTCAGTCAGCTGTGTCGTGCTGAGCAGTGGCTTACAGGGGGGGGGGGAGTTCTGATCTTCAAGAGGCAGGATATGGGGGTGGCCAGCATTTCTAAGGGGTCCATATAGATCAACCGCAATAGAAAATGGTCGCAGTGTTGTTAATACAAATGCGAGGACTCACGCCATCAGGAAGGATCCCCCGCAGTTCGAGGCACAGCCGCGGTCGACGGGACCCGCATGTGTGTCGTAGCCACACGTGCCGAACAGCAGGCCCAGGATGTTCATGAGGCAGATGGCGAGTATCATGCAGCAGAGTACCACGCCGGCGATCCACCTGTGTGCGCATGTGCATGTGTGTGTGCGCGGGTGTGCGTGCGCGTGTGTGCGCGTGTGTGTGTGTGCGTGTGTGCGCGTGTGTGCATGTGTGTGCGCGGGTGTGCGTGCGTGTGTACGTGTGTGTACGTGTGTGTGCGCGTGTGTGCGTGTGTGTACGTGTGTGTACGTGTGTGTGCGTGTGTGTGCGCGTGTGTGTACGGGTGTGCATGAGCGGACGGAGGAGAATAAACGTCAAAATTGCAGCGCCACTCCGCTAATCCGGCAGGAGCTTCTACACGCGCACATACAGCTTTTGTCAGTCCAATGATATCTAATATTTATTGGTCTTTTACCTAATCCGATTGATAGCGTTAACGTGGTCAATGGTAGAGAAACCCTTTCCTAAACCCTGCATGTTCCCATTATTTGTTCCCAGTGATCTTCCCAATGATGGATGCTGAACGAGGGCCTCCCCATGCCTGCATCGGTCGCAAGGGTTTTCTGACCATTTTTCACCACACTGATCAGTTCAAAGTGGGGTTGGTGAAGGCAGGGAGCATAGGCGCAGAAGCATAGCAGTTTCGACCAACAGTGGATGTTTCTGCTCCACCCTCTACTGGCTATATCGGAAGGTAGCCATCCAGCCAAGCCAAGCGCTGTCCAGGCTCCACCCTGCTTTAGCTTCGGAGATCTGCCGAGGTCAGGTACATTCCGGGGTCAATTGGTCACAGGTGTCTGTGACTTCATGGTCATAGGAAGTGTTCGCCAAGGAAGGACGCGAAGCCGCTCATGCAGACACAGCTGGCAACGTGCGTCGAGTGAGTGAGTGAACACCAAAGTCGTCATTTGCACGGGGTCGATGCCGTGGCTTTCGTAACCGCCATCGCCACCCCGATTGAATGCATAGCAATGATCATAATAATACATTAACATATGAATGGCGATAGCTGAGGCGGATCTGTATTCAAGCAGAGCCACGGAGATTAAATTTGAGGACACGGTACCATACTTGTATTCACGCGTCTTAGCAGTGGTGACGTGGCCCCGATGTTCGCGGTGACGGGGCCCAAGCGGCCCAAGCTATAAAGCCAGAAGCCTGAGTTTGAGTCCCACTAACATCAGTGGCGAGCGACATCTGAACCAGTCACGAGGCCCCCTCCTTTCAGCATGGTGAAGTATGACCAAACAACCGCCATGATCAACACGGCAACGTGGAAAGATGTCTTCACACAACGGTAGCTTCAATTAAATTTACAGATGTCTTCTTTTTCACGCCAAAAAATACACTTAAACTCTTCTTGGTTCTTTCGGTAAAGTCACGTAGAAGGGAAATAAAAAAAAAATAAAAATAAAACATAATTAAATAATTCTCACGACGTTTCGGCCACAATGCAAGCAGCCGTCCTCAGGTGAAGAACAGGTCTGTCGGAAAGACAGCGTCTGAGGACGGCTGCTTGCGTTGTGGCCGAAACGTCGTGAGAATTATTTTATTATGTTTTATTTTTATTATATTATTATTTCACTTCTACGTGACTTTACCGAATGAACCAAGAAGATGAATCCCTGCAGTCACGAAAGCTTTAAATCGAAAAATACACTTAAACTCATTTCCTCAAGGGGTTGTGAGTGTGTGCGACTCACCGGTAGTGCTCATAATCTGGAAACTGGTTGAGCACAGGAGTGATGCTGGTGTTTATGGAATTGATTTGAACGCTGAATTCGGACTGTAAAAACTTGTCGAAGATATCTCTCCGGATGTTGGATACGGTGACGTTGATGTTATCCAACTGCTTCTGAGCGTCTGTGGGGTGGAGAGAAACGGCAGAGCGATTCATATTCTTTCACGGCTTTAAAAAAAAAAAAGATCACAAGTCATTGCGTTGACGATGGACGTCTGTTAGGAAGAGCTTCGTTGCTCATCAGATTCCTACAGTCTATCATATGGCGCATTTGGCAACCGAAGGGTTTCATGGATAAAACGAGTAAAACACGGATAATGCACAGCATATGGATATTGGGCCATGGAGACACGCGTGTTGTTTTCATAACGCGAATTGGATAGAACGCGATGATGAATGTATCACAGGGAACACTTTTTTTTATAACGCGGATGCGAATTGGATATAACGTGATCGAGTGAACAGAACTAAGTCGCGCGAGTAGAAATTAGTGGTTGTACCGCTGCCTCAGCGTAACATCGTCACACAAGGCATTGGGATGCTGCTGGATGCTTCTGGATGCTACCCATGGCGTCGAGTCTGCATTATCCACAAATATTTGTGGCAAAACATGCAACACAAGTATCGTTTGATGATAATGTATGCTTCGTCTTTGAAACTGATTGGCCTAGACCAGAGATAGGCTTCTTTATAGCCTAGTCTCACCAGTGTCAGACTAGAGAACGTTACAATGCGAACACAGCACAAGCGGCGATGGAAATACCAAAGACGTTTTTCCCCCCGACAAAAACAAATTTATTGGCTACGTGCGGTGCGAAAGAAGTTCAACACACATACACGTGACACACAACTCGACAGAGCAAGCGTTACACCCTCTGCACTGTGAGCGCCACCCCTCTGCTCGTACCTGCCACTGCAACCCCCGTCTCGTTCTTCACTCGCGACGGGATGTCAGCGATGGTTTTGTTCCCCTGTGGTGGAGACAAGCGGCAAGCCAGTCGGGTGCACATCAAACAACTGGCAAAGCGTGCAAAGTCTTTTGCATTCTCAAACAAAAAAAACAGGGTAAAAAAACACGCATTTGCATTGTGAATTTCACAATAGTTACAAATTTTAAATCATTTCCAAAAAATGACATTTTTTAAGCCCCCAACCGCTCTCCACTATGATAACAAAAACAAGGCTGTCCGCCCGGCATGTAACAATCTCCCCCCATCACGATTCGATGAGTCGTCGCGATTCAGGATCACGATACAGTTCAATAATTGGCCGTTATTTTGCGTTTTGCTAAATTATCACACGAGAAACACCAATACTTGCGGGCATGGTTTGATGGGTGCATCATGTACAGAGCAATCAATTCCACTCTGATAATAATCAATTTAAGTCGTTGCACGTTGAGTAACCCGTTAAACACGTTGCTGATAGCGCAGACAAAAGTTGGGGAGTGATGTGGTAAAAGAACAACAATCGTGGAATACCCCCAAATTTACACGAACAATGTGAACATGTGCTAACACATACTGCATTCTCAGTTGGAGGGGACACGGATGTGCCCACTGGCTGTGAACTAGCGCAAAGTCCAGTGCCGAGGGTTTTCCTACCTCCAGCACCAACGCGCTGATGTTGGTCTTGAGAGCAGAGTCCACCGATGCGATTTGTTCAGAGAGATTCGCCATCTGTAAATTATAAAACAAGTCATTTACATCCGGAGGCACTGTGGTAAGCACGCTGCGCTACGAACCCGCTGACCTGAGTGTGATTCTCCACCATGGCTATCATACGTGGAGATATCCACACAGATCCTGTGCACCACCGCAGCCCCCTCCTCCTCCTTCCCCCTCCACGTGATGAAGTATGGGCAAACAACCCCCATGACCGATACGGCATTGGGGGCGGGCGGGCAGGGGGGGGGGGGGTTGGCAGGATGGCTCACCAAAGCATTACGTGCTGCCGCTCAACGGGAACCAACTAGGACACGCGTTTCCATCGTGTGCGTCGCTGCCAGTTCAGGCGTCACCACTACTCGGCACAAATCCCCAAACCCTCGGTAGCGTTCGGGCCCACGTACGGCGGTGGGCCGACGCAAAACGGGGCTGTGGGCGATGTCGTGCTGCTTCGGGGAGTAACGGGCACCTACGTTGCTGAAGTTTCCGGCGATGGAGAGGTCGGTCAACTTGGCAGAGGTCGCGGCGCAGTTGGGCCCACACGCGCCGAGGATCGTGCTCAGATTCTGCCGCTCTACTTCAAGGTCCGCGGAGAGCTTGGCGACGCCGCTCAGCAGATTCCGCTGAGAGCTGTCGACGGTTTGTAACGTGGCCGAAATGTTCTGCATCTCTGGAAAGGGTAGACGTGGGACACGTGAGCATGTTGTATGTAAAAGACGAAGATCCCCCAAGTATAGCCTTAACAGACTTTCGGGGCAAATTATGTTAGCGAGCACCTCTGAAGGCCGGCACGGGACACGAGGGGGCGAGGGGGGTGGGTAGCCGGCACCACACCCGGCCGCCTTTGTCTCCCCAGTGGCGATTATTTTACACACCGCACCAGGTACTCATTTGAGGCTGATTCGAGCTCGGAGGAGGCCCATGACCAGTTCAGATAATCGTCACCGGTGTTGCACATGAGCAGCAACTGAACTCGGGTCGCCGGGTTCGTAGTGTGTGGACTGCTACACCACCGCTCCCCACATGCCACATGTATACACGCGCGCACAATTGCGTGGCCATTTTCTGCATGGGCAGGCGCTCGCGAACGATGTGCTGAACTAATGCGTGACTGAACTATGAAACATTATTTTTTTTGTTTTACCTGGTAAGGCCCCCTGAGCTGTGTAACCCTTTTGCAGAAGGGACCGACACCACAAACGATAGCTCAACGAAGTGGCTTATCACTTGGGAATGTAAAGCAGCCAAAGACTCTAAACACGTGATGTTGATTCTAAATGTGAAGGGAAAAACCAGAGGGCTCGGAGAGAAATCCACCCGACCACGGGGAGAGACATGAACAGCTGGAACATAGCCGTTAACGCTTAATAAACTTAATAAACTGATTGCGTGGTGGATGATCAATAAGCCCAAACATTCTGAAAATCCAATACTAAGCTTTATCCATCCGTCGATTCTCTGTAACATGAGGTCACAGAGTAACTCCTGTAAACATTGGCCAATAAGTGTGAAGTAAGTGTTAAAGTCGCGTTGCTATGAGGGATGTCCCCCCGTAGAAAACCGCACGAATCGATTCAAGCGCTACAACCAAAACGTTACTATAAAATCCAGCGAAAGAGGTATGACTTTGGGCCACGTTGATGACATCGCGTTCCACCGCGTGGGAACCTCTCCGCAACTTCATAGGGTGTGGTGTCATTTTCCGAATCCATTTTGCGGCTCGGAGAGTAGCATCGTTGCTCATGAAATGCTGAACTTGTGAGGACGATTCACAAGGTTAAGGAGCATTTCAGAACCGGCGCACACACACGAATATCCCTCCTCGTGACCAACTACTGTCGCACGCGTGCAACGTTCAGACAATAAATTAAAATGTGGACAGGTGAACCGTGAAAAGGTAATACCGAATGACTTTGTTTGCAATTTAAAATGAGCAGTTGTTCACATCCCATTACATTCTTTTAAACAAATGCACAATCTTTTCGTACTGCCCATGTCCGAGTTTAAAAACATAAATATGCTAAACTCATTCCCGAGAATTCCGAAATACATCATGCCGTAGATAGTTCAGAGGGCCGAGACCATCAGAGAAGCCCTTACATTGCTGGCACATTTGGGCGATAAAACTTCCTCTCCTTCTCACCCGCAATGCAGGCGTGCACCAGTTTGGCACTTACTTCCGTACAGAGCCAAAGCCCTTGACTGCAGAGGTCTTGCCTGATCGCCGATGCTTGTCTGCAAAGATCCACCGACCGTTGAATCGATGGCTGACGACAGACAGGACACCCGCAGTAATGTTGGGGAAATGTGCGTATGGTTCAAAGCACGCAAACGACAGGCGGCAATGTTTAATCGAATAGATTAGAGGACGAGGCGCTCGAAAGACCTTGCCGAATCGTGGCCGTGAATGCAGTGGCTGTCCACTATAAGTCATTTTGAAAACCGTACAGGCGTAAGCAATTTACACACGTGAAGTACTTTCTTTTACGCAAGAGACAGTAGCGTCATGTGGTCAGGATACATGATGCGATGTGTAATTATTGCACGGTTATACGATTGTGATTACAGGACTGTTTCACGAAACGTTTTAACCCCGTGGCACATCGCGAGAGGGGGGAAATCGAAAGGGCACGCGGGGGCCAAGATTAGCGGGGAAGGGAAGGAATTGCTGGGACGGTAATCCCCAAGACAACGAGACGCGCTGCGGGAATTAGGGAGCGACGGGCAGGAACAGGAGGAGGAGAAGGAATGGCCGGGCCAAGGAGCCGTCCATAAATGACGTCACGCTCATGGGGGGGGGGGTCAGACATTTGTGACGATGTGTGACGAGGGGGGGGGGGGTTGAGAAATGTGACGTCAAATAAAAATGCGCAACTTTAAATAAATATAGGCAACACGTTCTACTTAATTAAATTGACTTTTTAATAAATGTCTTCTCCTACAACATCAGAGTGCAGCGCCACATTAAATACGCACTACAATGACAAGATTTTAAAGCGATTTGAAGCATGTTTTATTTTTGGGGGGGGGCAGAGCTTTGTGACGTCATATTTGAGGGTGTGACGAAGGGGGAGGAGGGTCAAAAATCGTCCAAAATCGGGTGACGTCATTTATGGACGGCCCCCAAGATTGGCAGCGGTGATGATGAAGATGAGAGGAGAGACGAGAGAGGGAGGGAACTAGCAGAAGTGAGCTACAACGGAGGAGAAGCGTCTGCTTTCACAGTGGGCGGGGATTCCAGATTACGCGACATTTTAGGCGTGCAGTTTTCACATATGTATTATTGTTATCACAGCAACCTTCTCAAATGGACGTGGTGCTTTTCCAACTTTTTTTAAGCGTACGGTATTCCTAAAACGGAAGTCAACAATTCGCACAGGCACTTGACGCAAATTCTCAGCAATCATCGGCCTCTTTAATCTCTTGTTCAGACACAACCAAAACAAACATCACGTTGACCAGTGTTGGTGTTCACTCACAGGATAGCTGGCCCATAACTAGACCCGAAAAGGTGCCGTACTGGTTCAAGATGTCGTTTCCTTGCTGCAAAGGCAAGAGGACAGGGCACGTTTGGTATGATCAGTGACACATTTCAGACTTGTTCAGAACAAGATCATTGTTTTTTTACCCTTCCATCTGGTAACAAAACTGACACCTTTTTTACAAGGAGTCATGTTTGCATAGACCACAATACCTGCAGTCATCTGGTCCAACCCATGTGAGACTAGGCTCTAAGGAAAGCTGTCTCGGGTGTGGACCAATCAACTTCAAGGACAGTGCACATTATCAAAGTTATGTTTTTTGTTTGCATGACTGCAGGTATTGTGGTCTATGCAAACATGACTCCTTGTAAAAAAGGTGTCAGTTTTGTTACCAGATGGAAGGGTAAAAAAACAATTATCATATTTTTTACTGGCAAATGAGGTTCCAATGGTTGTTCAGAACAAACCCACAACAGCCGCAAGCAGCTCACACGGTCACCATTTATCAACGTTTGGGTCCCAAGCCGCAGTAGCATGTGCAACATGCAACATTATGCTTGTCCCCTGGAATCAATGCATGCAGCTCTCTCTCTCTCTCTGTTAATCTACTGCTGGATGAGAGCCTCTCCACGCCGTGTGGGTCACGGGAGGTTATTTGAACGTATTTCACCGCGCTTACAATTGTGCGGCGGCGGTGTAGGTGAGGCGCATGGAAGTACAGTACAACAATGGATTTTGCTGCAATGCCCTCTGCTGCCCATAATGTAGCCCTGTAGCAACCTATAACACCTATGGTGCCCAATGGTTACCCATACACGTACAGTACCGTACTGTACACGCTCAACCATGTCGCGATACGAGGGTAACGGGGCGCATGCCCCGTTACCCTCGTCACAAAGCTCTGCCCCCTCCCAAAAAAATAAACATGCTTCAAATCGCTTTAAACTATTGTAATTGTAGTGCGTATTAAATGTGCCGCTGCACTCTGATGTTGTAGGAGAAAACATTTATCAAATAGTATATTTAATTAAGTAGAACGTGTTGTCTATATTTATTTAAAGTTGCGCATTTTTATGTGACGTCAGATTTCTCACCCCCCCCCCCCTCGTCACACATCGTCACAAATGTCTGACCCCCCCCCCCCCAGGTGCGTGACGTCATTTATGGACGGACCCTATGTCAACGATGTATAAGATGTTTCGTTTTAAGATTACTGGGAAGGAATTAGTGGAGCGAGGGAGGGATGGAGATAGGGAGAGAGCAAGGGAGGTAGGGAGGGAGGGATGGAGAGAGAGGGGGGGGGGTTACATAAAGCAAAGCATTAAGAAACTAAATGATGAACGAAGCAAAGTGCCGACTACACCGAGCATCTTCTTGTTTCCTCTGATAGTAAAAAAAGAGAGGGATGGAAGGATGGAGGGAGGGATGGAGGGAGAGAGGGGGTCTCATTGTGCTGATCTTGGGACAGAGTGGGTCCGAGCCATGTCAGTGGCCGTGAGGAAACGAAGAGCGGCACTGGCCCAACACTGTAGCGGTGACACTGCCATGAGGGTGGACGATGAGCTGCCCGTTGGAATGGGATCGCGTGGCAGAGGGGGGCTTTTACGGATGTACACGGTGGCGATGAACTAAAGGAGCACGTCCACTCAGCCCAGCCCATCCCACCACGAGCCGTAACGAGCGTGGAGGCAGGGGGGGTGCCTTGCTCCCCCTCCCCCTCCACTGTGGCCAAAGCTACGAGTCGGGGCCCACTTGACAACCAGCATGGGATATATTTCGATTTAAAGCTTTCGTGACTGCAGGGATTCATCGTCTTGGTTCTTTCGGTAAACTCACGTAGAAGGGAAATAATAAAATAATAAAAATTAAACATCGTAAAATACAATTCTCACGACGTTTCAGCCACAACGCAAGCAGCCGTCCTCAGGTGAAGAACTGGTCTGTCGGAAAGACAGCGTCTGAATGAACACCACCAAGCTTGGCAGCTTATATTTAAGCTGGGTTATGGGAGGAAGGGCGCATTGACAAAGGAATTTGCATATTGACAAAGTAATTTGCATAATTTTATTTTATTATGTTTTATTTTTATTATTTTATTATTTCCCTTCTACGTGACTTTACCGAAAGAACCAAGAAAATGTAGTTACTACCCCACTGATAATGTAGTTACTACACCACTGATAGTGTAGTTACTACACCACTGATAGTGTAGTTACTACACCACTGATAATGTAGTTACTACACCACTGATAGTGTAGTTACTACACCACTGATAGTGTAGTCACTACACCACTGATAATGTAGTTACTACACCACTGATAATGTAGTCACTACACCACTGACAATGTAGTTACTACACCACTGATAATGTAGTCACTACACCACTGATAGTGTAGTTACTACACCACTGATAGTGTAGTCACTATACCACTGATAGTGTAGTTACTACACCACTGATAGTGTAGTCACTACACCACTGATAGTGTAGTCACTATACCACTGATAGTGTAGTTCACTACACCACTGATAGTGTAGTCACTATACCACTGATAGTGTAGTTACTACACCACTGATAGTGTAGTCACTATACCACTGATAGTGTAGTTACTACACCACTGATAGTGTAGTCACTACACCACTGATAGTGTAGTACTACACCACTGATAGTGTAGTTACTACACCACTGATAGTGTAGTCACTACACCACTGATAGTGTAGTCACTATACCACTGATAGTGTAGTTACTACACCACTGATAGTGTAGTTACTACACCACTGATAGTGTAGTCACTATACCACTGATAGTGTAGTTACTACACCACTGATAGTGTAGTTACTACACCACTGATAGTGTAGTCACTACACCACTGATAGTGTAGTCACTATACCACTGATAGTGTAGTTACTACACCACTGATAGTGTAGTCACTACACCACTGATAGTGTAGTCACTATACCACTGATAGTGTAGTTACTACACCACTGATAGTGTAGTCACTACACCACTGATAATGTAGTTACTACACCACTGATAATGTAGTCACTACACCACTGACAATGTAGTTACTACACCACTGATAATGTAGTCACTACACCACTGATAGTGTAGTTACTACACCACTGATAGTGTAGTCACTATACCACTGATAGTGTAGTTACTACACCACTGATAGTGTAGTCACTACACCACTGATAGTGTAGTCACTATACCACTGATAGTGTAGTTACTACACCACTGATAGTGTAGTCACTATACCACTGATAGTGTAGTTACTACACCACTGATAGTGTAGTCACTACACCACTGATAGTGTAGTTACTACACCACTGATAGTGTAGTTACTACACCACTGATAGTGTAGTCACTACACCACTGATAGTGTAGTCACTATACCACTGATAGTGTAGTTACTACACCACTGATAGTGTAGTTACTACACCACTGATAGTGTAGTCACTATACCACTGATAGTGTAGTTACTACACCACTGATAATGTAGTCACTACACCACTGATAGTGTAGTCACTATACCACTGATAGTGTAGTTACTACACCACTGATAGTGTAGTTACTACACCACTGATAGTGTAGTCACTACACCACTGATAGTGTAGTCACTATACCACTGATAGTGTAGTTACTACACCACTGCATCCCACCAGCTGTCCTCATGCACCAGCAGTGGGCAACACAACCACGGTGACATCGCACGCGGTGCCGTGCCAGCAACCAGCGGAGTGGACATTCCCGTTCGTGATGTGGGTGGGCACGTCGCATCGGCGTACCACGCACACGGCACCAGCAGCAGCAGCTCCGTACACAGCAAGCGCCACTCTCAGCCAGCTTTGCAAAATATTCATAATCTTAGGTTATTTCGGTAAAGTCACGTAGGTAAAAAATGTTAATTAATAAAAGTAAAATAAAAATAAAATATTTTATTATATCATATTATTTTATTATATTATTTTATTTTATTTTTATTTTACTTTATTTATTTAAATTTTTTACCTACGTGACTTTATCGAAAAAAATCTAAGAATATGAATTCTTGCAGTCACGAAAGCTTCAAATCTAGAATTTGCAAAAAATACTTAAGGCAGCGTTGTCCCAATGAGCTCACTGAGTGTAATCAGCGCGCATTTGCCATGGGTTAGAGCAGGGTACGGCTACCCGCGGCTCCGCAGGGACATGCGGTGGCACTTTGGGCTGCCCCCTCGCGGTTCTTTGGCAGCCCAACTTGCGGGCAGCAGTTTAAACAAAAACTAAACTTTAATCTCAAACGCAATTTACGCCACTGATAATGTCGTAACTATGATGGCATACATCTATATGGGTCACGCTGGAATATATTGGTGGCGAGAAAACGTACGGCCAAACTGTATTGTTAAAGAATAACTAAGGGTGGCAAAGGCTAAATAGACGCAGTTTATTCCATCTGCGTGTGATGCGGCTCTCCAACTATTTTGGTCAAAGACAAAAAAAAATAAAAAAAATAAAGTCTCTTCTTCTTTGAGAGGTTGCCGACCCCTGAACTAGCCTCGTAAGGTTGCACGATAACAAATATACAGACTTACTTATTCCCCACTAAATACTGTGTATATATTTGGACAGACGTCATTACATGTTTGCTATGTACTCTATGTGTCAATTGAGGCGCTGGACACGCTTGCAAACGAGCTATTCCATCCGGGAATTTTCCAGGTAAAATGTGAAGAAAAAACCGAAATGGCGGCTATGTCACCATGACACTTGCGTCAGGCTAAGATGCACTGTTAGGAATCTTGAATTGTCAAAAGCTGACTGGTAGGCGGTCATGAGATACCCCCCCCCCCGCCCCCCACACAGACACAGTCTCGACAATGGACACCGTGCATTTGGTGAAAACCCAATATGTACGCACAGCTTAAATTCAATGTATATCCTTCAACGGGCTTTGTGGAACAGGATATGATTTTCTGCTCGAGACACAGGACTCTGTGCGACGTCGGGTCAACGTTGGCACGCGCGGTTTGAATCACTGGACCAACGTTGGCCCAACGTTCCGCGGTTCACCGGGAAGCCGCGTGGGACACGCAGAGGGAAGCACGAGGGAGGCGTTGGGTCAACCTTGGGGATGTCGCTGATGAAGGTGGACAGGTCCTTCAGGTTGTCCGCCACGAGCTTCGGCAACTTCTTCATGGACGTCGTCGTCTGCTCGTTTGTTGTGAAGGCGCACGCGATCCCGGCGCTGATCGTTGGCAGAGTAAAACAAACAAAAAATAACATGACGTCTGAAGCTGATTTTTCAGAAAAATACAGCTTTTTCTTGCACAAAAAACGTTCTTCTGGCATACAGGTTTTTTTGGTTAGATTGCGTGAATATATAAATGTGTCGTTAAACCCGCCACCACCCGACACAGCCAACTAGTAAAGATTGTTGTCACGTAAACAGAACGTGGCCAATTTCCTACTAGTACATCACACCGGTGTCTTGGAGAGCCAAGCCACAACATTCACAATCTGAGTACGACGTTTCACCAGTAATTACAACTAGCTTCATCAGGCGACAGCCATATTTGTGGAGAAGTCCACCTGTTTCGTTCCTTAAATAGAGCCGTAGATGTGATGACAACTCTTGTGCGCTCCTGTATTATGGAAGATATTGGTCGCGAAAGCCTACGTGTTCAAACTTGATTTTATAATAAAAATATAAAACAATATTATTGTTTTTATATTTTTATATTTTTAGTTTAATATTTTTTTTATTTTTTTATTTCCCTTCTACGTGACTTTACCGAAAGAACATAGAATATGAATCCCTGCAGTCACGGAAGCTTTAAATCAAAATATCATATATTTTAAATGTACGGACAAAAAGTCTGCTTTAAATGTATAATGAACAGACATGTTCACTTGCAGACTAACGTTTGCCAGCAGAATTTTTGACTGAGGAGGCAAACTGGATTTGCAGCGACAGATAACATCAGCATGGAGGGTAACCGGAACTCGTCCTAGGTCAACTCAGGCTTAAAGACGTACTCGGCACGGTGTGTAAACATCACCACTTTGGAGACAAAGGCGGTCAGTCAGGCGTGGCACTCGCCATGCCACTCCCTCGTGTGACAATGCTATCGCTCATGGGTACGCGCCAACAGCACCCCGTGCCCCTGTAGCAAGCAACGTGAAATTATGGAGGGGTTTTGATCTTTGTTTATCTTGCTATGTTGTTGGGGAAGAGTGCACGTCAGGCAAACTGGATGTGCGCAAAAAGCCTGACAGCATTTAGTGCCGACATGATGGCATCATAATACGAACAACAATTACAACGGATACAATGTTGTACAGTGTATACGTGCATGTATTCATATCTAAAGAAATAATACGTAACTACTATATTTTTTGTACCCAGGAAATTCTCACTGGGTTTAAGGCTTGTGAGAAGTGGGATGTTTGGCCAATTCGTCTACTTATTGAACATTTGGCTTGTGGTAGGAGTCCATAGTTCCTGGAGATAAGCCCAAACTAATAGAACAAATATTTCAATTGTTGGCCACATCACAGCGCAAGCCTATGAAAGCGGACATCTGTGAAAAATACTGGACATCTCCAACAAAAACTGCTTTATAGCTCATAGGGTTCCTCCAGTATTAATACATATTCTGAAAAAAAATAGGGTTCATAATATAGGTTTTTGGGTCAGATCGCGTTATTTATAAATGTGTCGTAACCCTCCACCACCCGACACGGCCAAACAGTAAAAATGTGTCACGTTTTTCAAAGGACAAAATAATTCACTTCTTTAGCCCACCGGTGTGTTGAAGAGAGAATCAACAGCATTTTGAAATTTGAGTACGACGTTTCGCTGATAATTACAATCAGCTTCATCGGGCAAGAATGGAGATAGGGTGTTGACTGTTGTGTTAACCGACTATCTGTGTTGTATTACATTATATTTCATAGGTTTTGTTTTCTCTTTCAGTTATACCTGATGACAATTGCTTGTGTTGCAATTGAAACGTCCGTATGCCAGTATTCAATGTATTATTTTCTCTTTCTACGTGACTTTGCCGAAAGAACCAAAGAGTAAATATTCTGAAGACCTGGTATCCCAACGCAGTCTCCCACCCAAGCAGTAACCAGGCTCAACGCTGCTTATGCTCCCAACAATTGACGACACCCAGGTGCATTCCGGAGACATTTGCTAAGGCAGGGCTTCCCACACCGTGGACACGGGGAGTGTCTGCAAGGCCGTGGGAAGTGCTCCGTGTAGACCGAGCTGGTCCGCTGAGATTTTTTTTTGGGTTAAAAGTGGTTTGCGGGTTTCAGAAAGGTTCTGGCAACCACTCGTACTGCCAGGGTCGGGTGAACCCAGAGGTCAGAGGTCGGCAACCTTGCGGCTCCGGATGCACATGCGCGGCTCTTTAAGAGGCTGCTTTGTGGCGGTGTTTAATAAGGATCCAGCGTCTCGTGATGGATCTGAAAACAATGGCTCTTCTTGTTATTTTGGTTTCCGACCGCTGCCATGAGCTCATACGGCATTAGGCCCTCATATTTCGGAGGCCCTCCGCTCCATATTGAAGGTCATCGAATTGCGATTACATCGTTCATGACTTTGCCACAGCTAAGAGGCTAGGGGGGAAATACATGTTTAAAGAAATTAAGTGTCGTGGGTGAATCGGAATCTTTACTTATCCGGGAGAAATCCGATTTATGTTTTATGAATCTAACGTGCCTTGAATCGAATAAAAGTGTACATTTGACGCAGGTGAAAAAATAAATATGTTTGATGACTTCATACTTTTATTTTTGCTTGCAATATGTAGCCCATTCTCAGGCCCTTTCCCCTCCTAATAGCTGCAGGTCGCTAATATCCGTAATCCGGCCCTGGGTCTAAGGCAGCGTTCTTCATTGCAAGGCCAGCGGGCCACTGGCGGACCTCCCTGGTCGCCTTTAGTGCGGGCCCTGATGTGCGGCCTCTGACAATAGACAAATATGAAAACACCCATCATCATCATCATCGTGCTGCTGTCAAACCCCCGATGGTTTCAAATGTGCGGCGGCCCTCATAACACTGAAGATGTCTTATCGGCAAAAGTGGCGCCACTCTCGAAAATGAGTGAAGAGGAACACCGTTCTAAGGCAATGAACCTGCCCCTGGCGTGGCTTCTCCGCCGAGGAGAACGCCGCTGGGCGGTGGTCGTCATTGGTCGCGCGCAAGCGGCCGGTATCGCCCGGGAGAGCCTGCACAGGCTCGCGGGGGGGGGGGGGGGGGGAGTCGTTCCAAGGGGCCACCCACAGCATGATGATGGTGACGATGGCCAGGAAGGTGCCGAACGTGTGCCGACGGCAGGACGTGATGTCCTTCTCCCGCTGGCGCATCTCCCCGCCGCAGTTGAGGCAGCAGCAGCGGCAGACGCAGAAGAAGAAGCCGACGATCGGCATGAACACGATGAAGATGATGCCGATGAGCGTGCAAACGATGAAGCCCACCTCGTACAACGCCACCTGTGGGGGAGTGCCGCACGCATGAGAGCACGTGCACACACAAAGACAAAGATTCCTCTCCCACCCTGCGCCCCCCCATATCCTAAGATCCCCCCCACATTGAGACCGGCACGGTACGCGATGGGTGGGTGGCCAGCAGCACGCCTGGTCGTCTTTGTCTCCCTAGCGGCGATGTTGTAGACATTGCACCAGGTACTCGTTTGAGGTTGAGTCGGCCTAGTGAAGGCGCCGGACAGGTTCAGATAATCGTCACCGGTGTTCACCGTGAACGGGAATCGAACCTGGGTCACTGGGTTCGTAGCGCAGCGCGCTAACCCTTGCACTACCGCTCCCCACAAACACACACACACACGCACGAAAGCACACACGCACACACATTAGTAAGTATGGCAAAGGCATCTTAAGCTAACAATATATTGGGGAAGTTAGGAGTAAATATGTCACTGGGTGCATTGCACAAGAAACTGGATTTTCCAGGTTGTGGTTTGAGTGCAAACCAAGAACTAATTTGAATTTTGGAACGTAAAAAAAGTGCAGACAATGTTGTTTTAACTTCATATGTGGGTTTTCCCAAACTAAATCACGAATAAATGTTATTTGAGTGGAAAGTTTTTAAACATTAGACTATGTCCCTTGCAGAGAGAGAGAGCGGGCACGCACACGCGCCATGCCATTCCTCTGCTCAAACTTCTCCTATAGACCAATGATTCACCTCGGCACAACATTCCAGCTCACTGTGTCGGGGAGAGGGGTCCAAATGTGGTTAAATATTGATCTGTTTTAAAACAACAACAACAATTATAATAATAGTGATGCCCTCGACTTAAAAAAGCCTTGCCGAGTCTCAAGACTCACTGTTCGGGAGGGTGCTGCTGCATTTGGATGTTTGGTCAACTCCACGAATGACCGTAACACTCAAAACCCCGCACATATGGATTGAAGGATCCATGCTCAAACCTGCTTCGCTTTTGAGATCCGAAAAAATTGTGGTGCATTCAAGGCGATTTTGTAAGAGTTGTCTCTACGTGTGGCTGTGTTGTGGTGAGTTGTGCGAGCGATCGAGTGATACAAACGGGGAGGAGGGTGGGGGGGACAGATTAAAAGCATTGGAGGAGGGAAAGAGCGAGATTATACCGAAGCTAAAGCTGTGTGTGAAATACCTTCAAGGTCCAGATAATGTGGTCGGGGTGCTCAGACATAGAAATAAGGATGGAGGATTCCACAGACCCATTGTACTTTAGAGAGCAGAGAAGGAAAGGAAAGAAGATGATGGACAAAGTCATTGTCAGCAATAGGTCGCACTTAACAATAGGCCAGCATGCAGATTTTTCGAGAAATCATCCAACGTTTCTAGAAGTATGTTGCATGTATTTTGTTTTTTTTATATAAATTAAAGTTGAATAGCTCAAGGCGCACTAACCTCTTTCACTAAAGCCTGCAAATTTTGCGAAATCTTCGAAAAGTCAGTTCCAATGAGGTCTGCAACGCGGAAAGGGGAAAAAAACACAAACATCCACAATGCACTCAGTCGCGTGACGTCACAAAGGGAATGCAACGTGCTCGCAATTGACGGCCATAGCCGAGCAGCGAACGTGTGACGATGCCTGCAACGACTTTGTTAACGAATCGTTTATTTTGCAGCAGCAGCAGCAACAAACAGACACCATGGGGGGAGGGCGAGAGACCACGGCAGCACAATCATATTTCTCATCGTGCAGTATTCAAAATTCAAACGAGTACAACAAAGCCGATACAGACTCACAGATTTACCAAGCGCTCCGTCACTTATACCTGCAAACATTGCTTCGGTCATAAGGTGCGCTTATCAAACACGGGTTTCAAATCTAAATATATATATTTAAAAATATAAAACGTAGGTAGAATTTAATTCCTCCCCACCCCCTTCCCCTGCTGCAGAGCCTCTCACTTGGGACGCGAGCCTTAAATAATTCATCGTCGTAATTATAGCGTGCGGGCGGGCGGGCGTGCAATCCGGCCACGCGCTTACGTGAGCAGTTTCGGGAATCTTATCTGCGACAGATCCGGCGTGCAGATTTAGCGATTGCGCCGTGACGCCACTCAGTGACTGGGTTTATACTGGTAGGAACCTCCTGGTTACACCAGCCCACAGGGGATTATTGTGTCCGTCCGTCGTGAATCCAATAATGGGAGGGATGGGGCTGGGTGGAGAGGGGAGGGTGGGGAGGGGCTGGGTGGGGAGGGTGGGGAGGGGCTGGGCTTGGTGTGGAGGGGATGGTGGGGAGGTGCTGGGTGTGGAGGGTGGGGCTGGGTGGGGAGGGGCTGGGTGGGGAGGGTAGGGAGGGGCTGGTCACCCCGTGGTGCCCTTATAAAACTCAACGTTTAACCTACTCACGCCGGCTTGTGCCCGCCCTCACAGTCGGCCATATTTGCGGGAATACACCACGCCGCCGTTGACCCTGACCATTGACCGAGCAACCCAACGTTCCTACCAGCTCCCTCCTCAGGAGGAATGTGTTTGTTAAACATCGCTGGACGACGCCTGCTTGGGGAAACAACGCGCATTTTTCAAAAGTATACATCTGACGAATCATTTGATTATAATAACAACTATCATGTGATTGTAATGATAATTCTAATTATCGTTACAATCACGTGATAGTTATTACTCATTTACCCAGGAAAATCACACGGAGTACAATGACACTGCTTTGGAGGGTCCTGCTTCATTGGGTCATTAATTGAAGATGTTTTTCAGCAAATGAAGGAGTGTTTATACTTGTAGTAAATCCACGTGCGTAAGGGGGAGCGGTCACTCTCCCCGTACAGATGGAAACGGATGGAGATTAGTCCTGGCAAGCCAGGACATGGCACCTCCTCGACACCAGCGGTAAGAGTTTCTCAACATCTGCGCGGTGATCCATCAACCGTCGCCTCCAGTGCTGGATTACGGGGCCTGTATAATCACCACCGCCTTAATGTTCTTACTTTTAAAAAAAAACAGGTTAACTACTGCTTAGGAGGCATTCGTTCAAAAAAATAATAATTGACCATGGTTGATGATACACCACCAAAAAAATGCACTTATGTGCCATTTATTTGCTTCACAGTGAAACTGGTGATCCATGCTTCCATCGGTTAACTGCTTCCAAAAACAACCCCACTTTACGTGTACAGTGGGAGGGAAGTAGCCAAGACAAGAATGCCTTACATCCCAATTTTGACCTCAACCCTCCACGCGATAAGCGCGCCATCTGGAACGCGCCGTGAGACATCGCGCGCGCAACGTAAACTGGCCGTGACTGCGCCACATCTGGGAGTCGCTTTGTTCGAGGACGCTGACGCAGCGCCCGGGTGCGCTTGATATTACGGAGCGGTGGCGAGATGTTAACTACCTCGCCGGGTATGCAGGAGGAGGTCGTGGGATCGAACCCGATTCCGACCCTGACGCCTGGATTTTTCTCCGGGCCCTCCGGTTTTCCCTCCACATTTAGAAACGTACCTTCAAGATCATTTGTCTGCTATAAATGTCCACGTGATAAGCCACTTTGTTGAGCTATCATTTTGTGGCCAGGTCGCTTCTGAAAAAGAGCGACGGAGCTCAGTGGGCCTTACCTGGTAAAATAAAATAATAGTTTAGTTCTTTGTTTAAGTTTTTAGTTTATTCATTGCATTGCCCAAGTCTGCGGGTGACATCCACCACCACCACGCCTCCACCGCCGAAACGTACGAAGCCGCGCGATAAAAATTGTCTCGGTCACAGGTGCTGCTCACAAGCACGAGGTGGCATCCACGAACGGGGCCATCACAGCGTCAATCCTTCGACGCCAACCCGAGGATCCTCGGCTGGTGCAATTATCAAAAATGCGAGCTCTATTCCCGCTCCCTAAACCTCGACCGGTTGGGTTCTCTCAACTTGCTGGGTTGTCTCAACTGACAGGGTTGTCTCAACTGACTGGGTTGTCTCAACCGGCTGAGTTGTCTCAACTGACTGGGTTGTTTCAACCGCGTGTATTCGTTTGTATTGGACGACTGCGCAGGGCTACGTGATGAGTAGCGTGGCAACGCCCGTTGTTGTACTGTACTTCCATTCTGCCACGCCCACGCTCCCCTCATTCACCTACCGGCATCGAGTCGTGTGGTGAAGTATGGTCAAATAACCCGCTACAACTCGCACGGCGTGGGGAAGCCCTCGTCCAACAATGAACCGTCTACTGGAGGAATCCGATGAGCTATGAAGCTCTTTTTCACAGATGTTCAGTTGGGACACGGGGTCATAACTTTATAACGACACGCGATACAAAAACACCATAGGAGTGCAAAGCATAGGAAAGGTAAACAAATCACGTTAAAAAAATATACAAATAAAACTAAACAAAGTTGTATCTTACCAGGCAAAGCCCACTGAGCTATACGCTTATTTTTCAGAAGCGACCTGGCCACAAGTGACAGCTTAGCAAAGTGGCTCATCACTTGGAAATTTATAAGCATCAAAATCATCGAAACAATCGAAATGCACGTTTCTAAATGTGGAGGGAAAACCCCGCAGTGCGTATAGATGTATCCCGACACAATGACAACATGCCCTGTTGCTGGAGTGGGACATTGCGGCTCGCGGCTAGAGCAGCGTTGCTTCGCCACTTTGGCCGATAAGACATCATCGCGGTGTGAGGGCCGCCACACGTTTGAAGCCATTGCGGGTTTGACAGCAGCACGATGATGATGATGGGGGGGGGGGGGGGGTGTTGTCACGTGTTGTATATTGTGGGGGGCCTCACTAAAGGCCACCAGGGGCCGCTATTGGCCCACGGGGCCTTGCAATGAACAACACCAAGCTCCGATTTAAAGCTTTCGTGACTGCAGGGATTCATCTTCTTGGTTCTTGCGTTGTGGCCGAAACGTCGTGAGAATTATTTTATTATGTTTTATTTTTATTATTTTATTATTTCCATTCTACGTGACTTTACCGAAAGAACCAAGAAGATGAACACCAAGCTCGATAAATTAATGCAGACACGAGTCTACCTCTCAACACGGGTCACTTAGAGCGATTGCTGTTATGTTGTCGAACGTAGCTTAATGGGGCCTGCCTCTGCTGGACGAGACACATTAGGTCGAGAGCAGGCCAGAGTTTGGCCGTTTCAACAAGCTCAGTTTTGAAACACTGGTCTGGAAAGCCCGTAAAGCCGATGGACGTGGGTGGTTTTTTTATGTGATGAGATTAACGTTTGTTTATTATCTTCTTGGTTCTTTCGGTAAAGTCACGTAGAAGGGAAATAATAAAATAATAAAAATAAAACGTAATAAAATGTTTTATTTTTATTATTTTATTATTTCTGACTTTACCGAAAGAACCAAGAAGATGACTCCCTGCAGTCACGAAAGCTTTAAATAGTTTGTTTATTAGTATGTACTAATGCCCTGACTTACGTGGGGGATGCGTTCCTGAAAGGTGCGACGACGAATATCGCAACAACGTAAAATCAAAGTGATTTACAGAAGGGGGGGGGGGTGGTGGTGGTGGTGGAGGCTGAGAGGCCACGGATAACGAGAACGGACGGACGACGCTGTCGTCGATGTAAGTGTGGGGTTCGAGGCGACGTTGATCAGGTAGCGGTGTTAATAAAGTGACGACGTATTTACAAAACAACGTAAAAAAATGGGGAAATCGGGGCATGACTGTTTATACGTATCATATCGTTAGTCTGCGTATTTTGTTCGGGTCCACACATTGTTTTACCATTTTGTGTATATTCTGAACCCAGAAATTCCTCGCGATATCATTGACAGCGGCGCGCAAACGCAAGCCCGGTTAATCCGGCCGTGAACAACGCGACAAATGCGGACGGAGTAGGCAGGCGGGTGCCGGGGACTCTCTTCTCACCGCGCCTCTATAATGCGCTACCCGCCCGTGACACTTTAAACCGCAAATCCGATCCGATTGGGAGCGCAACGACGCCTCGGCTCAAACCTCCCCCCGATGGCCCCCGCGAGCTCCGTGTGGCGGGTGGCGCCGTGCCAGCGTCCGGCAGGCTCAATGTCGAACGCCCCCCCCCCTGCCAGTCCCGCCTCACCAACAACAACAACCGCCATTCGCTACTAAGTGGCGGTGACGTCACCACGACGCTTGTGCCAGGCCATGTGCACCTTGAGGCCACGTGAAGTGTCGAACGCCCGCTGGCAGGAGGTCACGGGGCAAACCCAAGTGCCACGGGTCGACTGACCGAGATGACCGAGATGACTGGCTGATTTCAAAGTTCATTGATTAGGTATAGCCCTGTGAGCCATGCGGCTCTTGAATCGGGTGTAACCGCAACAACACCACCACCACCAACACCACCACCACCGCACCACCGCACCGTTGTTGTGATTGTTATCATTGATCGCGAAACGTTTCCCACGTGGCGGAGACTTACGGGACGTCACTCGCACGTAAAGCGGACCCGTCCGTGGTGTGACTTAGCACCTCCTGCGGTTTGTTTGGGGGGCTTTTTTTGGCA